CAGTAGCCTCGTAATGGCATAAGAATGTCATTATAATAAATGCATCAGTTATTAATTATTATCAATGATAATAGCCATATGGTTAGGGGTAAAGTCAATAATTAACTCTGAAAGGATTGATCAACCGGAATTGTAATATAATAATATTTTAGTATAATTATAATGTAATTGGTATACCATCATCAAGTTGTTAAAATACCAAGAGAAAGTACTCTGTCTTAAACAGAGGTTGTTCTATTTACGCTTTCATACAAGGCATATTGTATATAAGCCATAATTATTTCTTCGATTTATTGTTATCCTTTTTGTATTAATTATATTTGTTGCGTAACAACCAAAATAAAGACATCGCCTTGAAGATTGCTTATTATACTTACTATTATTTTTTTTATAAACAGGCTGTTTTGCTAATTACAGGTGCTATCAAATCGTTATGAAAACATCGTTAAAGGTTTCATCGTGTTTCCTACGATAGTAAATTGCGGCATAAATTAATATATTAAAGTGTTAACTATCGCCTTACTAAATAGATCTACAGCAGTATGAGCACAATTAGCTTGATTTAGACGTACATTTTAGCACTTTTCAGTCTGCGACTATGTCAAGTTTTACAGCTTCTCCGACAATCACATCTCAAGTTAACTCAAGATCTACCACTTAGTCGCCAACTAGCAGTAGATTGGTATATCGACAATAATAATTACAGAGAAACTGCAAATAGTGACCGTTGCATCAATAGGAAGTACAATTTTGGATTACTCAATTAATTAATTTCTACGCTTCTTTCAATAGGGGGAGTGTCTATGACTTGAATATTATAGTATGTTACCATCTTGTGATTTAGAAATAGTAATAGAAATCAATAGAAAACAATGATATTATCTTCTTAATTAGCCCTTGAAAAGCGCGATTATTCGATACGATGACGTTACCTATTACTGAAAATATAGCTAATGGAAAAGTCTATCGTGTAAACTAGGCTCATCATTGTAAATATCTAATAAGTTTAAATTAAAACACTTCCAAAATTGTAATAGAAGAAAAGAACCGATATTTGGACTCGTAATATAACTTATTAGGTGTTGATATACTTTACTAGTTGATCATGGTCATTGCTCATTATTGAGTTATTAATAAGAAACACTGCTATAATTAAAAATTATATTGTTATACTAATTTGGATATCAATTAAAAGAGGCCGATAGCCGTTAGAAAAATTCATTCTATTAAGATCATGAGAACACCTGTATTCTGATGGGTTTTATTATCTATAGAGTTATCTAAATTAAACGTTGATTAGCGATGTAAATTTTATATCCTACAATAATATAATTCTATTCTATATTGTTGATGTGTTCATGTCTTATTCTATTGCTATACAATAGGTGAATTTGAATGATGACGCTAATTTATTATCTTAAAATTAAGATCGATATTACAATTATTAATACATCAATACATCGTTAATGATATACCGTAATGTTTTAAAAAGATACTTATATAAAAGATGATGATGTAATTATCCTTTTATCATCATAGCTCAGGTAATGCGAATAAACGACGACTGATAGTGACATAAGATAATCCTATGTTTCAAAATTACTTCTAAGCCGGCCATTGACAACATATTAAGTAATACATTATCCTTTTTTATCCTCTTTCCGTTAACAATTGCAATCTTTAGTATGCAGCTGTTTGTTTCTGTAACTCATCTTGTCAAGTTATTGTGTATAGAAGATATGGCCATAAATAATTAATGTTCCGAATTCAAACTAGTTATTGTTTACTGTTTCGACATTATTAGGATCGCTCGTTAATGCGGTAGTAAACTACACCATAGAGTGATCATTTTTGAGTTTACAGTATTTCCTATAATTAGCGTCTAACTTATTAAATTGACTGTTCAATAAACAATACAGTTTATAAAACCATAAGGTCACCTAGCGAATAGAATCTTATTTTTTAAGAAACAAAACCAAGAGTACATTTTGTGTTGAGCATTTTGGTCTAGTAAAATATGATATAAGGATGATAGTAATCACTATCATTCAAAATTAACGAACAGAAACTAAATTAAGTTAAAATTAACAAGGAATAAAGGAGAGAAAAACTTATTGTGTAAATCGTAATTAAGGCTAAAGAAGTCGGAAGTATTAATAAAAAATATTAATTAGCGCCATTGCTACCTGTTGCTTCGCAAAGTCAACTTGAACCTACTATATCTTATTCGTACTAAATTTATTTGAAGAATGGCAATCGATATTGGGGTGGGGGTATTGAATGGTATCAAATACACTGTCTTGTATATAGATTAAAACTTAAAGTTAGCTCCCAGCATCTACGTGTGAATTAGACACATAACTATTGTACGTGATTGGGTAAAATTTATTACAGTAACAACATATTGTATGATCAAGACAATATGCTAGATTTAATAACAATTAGTTATATTTAACAGCTGTAATAAACCATGACGCAGATGGCAAACATGGTATTATTTGATCCAAAAAGATTCAAAGTATAATGCACCGTTGAATATTTAACGGTCATTAAAAGATTCTACATCTAATCAATTTCAATTAGCTTGTACATCAATGTTATATAATTTAGTGGTTACGATTATAACAATATCAATAAGCCCTAGTACAATAGGTAAGCATTGAAAATTTTTTATTGGATTTAAATTAGTTAATAACCGCTTTGACGCTATCATTACAAAGCATTAATTTTAAAATAGATTTAAACATATCATTAAAAGCTTACAAAGAAGAGAATAATCTGTACCCATTAAATAGAAAGTGCAAGATAGGTATAACACCTGAATGGTAATATTGAAGATGTTTGTCCTACTGGCTGCAACAAATAGTTCAGATTGATACCAATAGATTTCAGAATCCAATTTATTATTCTAATATATCGACGACTGTAGCGTCTACTAACAGGTTATGAATACAAGTAGTTTAATTATTTGTCAATTAATGATGAAGTCATTCTTAATTTTCTAATTGTATATTAAAACTTGGTTCTATAGCAATTATAATAATAATTGATGACCTTAGTAAACATAATTGTGACTACTGTATTTTACTGATACCAAGTATCAAGTTATACGAAATTTATCAATACAATGATACTGATTTATTGTCCGAGCTCAAATCTCATAAGCTGAATTTAATAATAAATCACTGAAACATTACAAATTATGAAGAACACATATTAATATATATAAGAGTGTTATGATGAGAGAGTATGCTTGTTTAATAATACAATGGTACGAACTTATCATCATGACTTGAACTTCACAAATTGAATAAAGTATAAGAATCTCTAAAATATGATGAAGAGTGATTTTTATGAGTATTATAATGAGAGTATACTACTAGTATATACAGTCTATGTGTATTCATTTTAGTGATACAGAAGTCAGGTTCAAATTATTGGATGCAATACTACGCTAAAGTAAGCTCGAGCAGCATCAGCAGTGGTAATGATCCCTTTATATCAGGGTTTATGCATACGTAATGATTGTAGTGTACTCTATCTGTCTGTACATTAATTGCTAAAGTCATGTCTAGATGTCTCTTGTTGTATAGTTCTGTATATTAGTTTGTCCTCTGTATAGGGTATTGTATTGTACATAGGAAATAAATTTTAATATACGCGTATTAATACTTTAGATTTGGTAAATATCGAATATGTCGTTATTCGGTAGATTAATTATTATGATCAAAATTTAATATATTAAATTTTTATCAAAATTGTACAATTGATAGCAAATTGCTGTTTACGGTACTCCCGATTTAGCCGTTTTATATTTTATGTTTAGTTCTAGCTTGGTATCTTGCGATTTTAAAATTGCGCATATCGTCATAGTGTCACAAATCTGTAGGGCTAAATTGATTGATTGATACTGTAAATAATAGCTAAAACTAAACACTGCACGGATATTGGTTAGTATCACAAATTGGTAAGGCTAAATTGATTGATTGATACCGTAAATAATAGCTAAAGCTGAATATTACATGGGCATTGGTAGAATATTCTATGCTAGTACTTTGCCTCGTGTAAATAATTCTCACTATAAGAAAGGCGTGTGTCAAATAATTTTGAATCAACTTCTGTGGCATTAATTATGAATAAGTTGGATACCTTACCAAGTACAAATTGGTCTTCAATGTGGTAACATTGTCTATAACAAGAAGTTGGCATTAAGTGTCACCCCTCTTCGATTTATAACTAATGACAACAATACAGTATACGCACTCGTAGAAGCAATCGTTGCCGATAAACTTTGATACAATCGGCTAATGTTGGGTTTAATAGTTAGTCATGCGCTCGGTCGAGTAGTATTTAATCACGCTTCGTTGCTATAACCAGTTTACCGTTTGCTATCATCCACCTCTAATCGTGCATAATTACGACATGTAATTCAAATTCGCTAAATAGTATTTTTATCTCTTAATTTGATTATTTTATAGGAATTAACAGAATTGTAGTTTCATTAAATCGAGTATTAGAGGGGTTTTAATTACTTAGAGTGCATTTCAGAGATTTGCCTACGATTTTTTTGCTTTATACTATAATCTTAGGGTATAAAAACAATGTATGGTGCGTTCAATAGTGGACTGAGACTGTCAGACTTTAACTTTACGGTTTGGATAGATAATAGCAAAATCAGTTTAATCGTTATGCTGTATACATACAGTTTAATGCTATAAAGCAATACGAAATCTCTGAATGACATTGTAAATTAGAAATTTTATTTTTTGTAATGATGATATTATAGTGCTCGTTTGTAGCATGATACAGCTAATATTTAATTACAGAGCATACTATTGTACACTAACACTAACACTTGGGATGCTTAGGTGGATCGTTGCAAGTGTTCCTTAGTAATTGGATTCCTGGCCATGCCAGATTGGCTGAAATAGGTGAAAATATATAAGATTAATGCCGCTTGAAATGTAAGTTCGTTACGAAAGAGATCTTAATCTCGAACGTCATATGCAAAAACTTACGTTTCCCTCGCGACCAGATTTCTGCATATTCGTCTTTTTCTCGATATTTTGCATTAAGTATTGTGTCTTGAAGGTTAATGATTTTGTTTTTTCAATGATTTGTTCGTAAACCGACGGCATTTGCACTCCCATAATCACATGCCCCTTGAAATTGATAACAAAATCATTTGGTCATTTACAAATTTTATTACTAACGCTTTTGAAATATTTCGTTGTACCTCTTTTAAGTCAATTTTGGCATCTAATAATGCGGTTCTAATCAAATCAACAATCCATCTTTCAGCAGCATCTTGTGTCATATTTAACTTTTCAGCAAGCATACTGCAATGCAATATAGCGTACTTAGAATTTGTAGTTATGATATTTATATAACTTTTCGATCCAGCAAATAGTAGTTACCTTATACTGATACGATGATGTATACGGCAAAAAGTTTCAAAGATAAGGCGACGAGCACTTTCAATAAAATCATCCAGGCTACTTACCAAGAAAATATCATTAGAGATGACCTGTATAGTAATAAATGAATAGAATTAGTCTAAGGGCTTGTAGACATAATATGATCTAAATTTTACTGATTTACGGTTTCGCATTCTCGAAGCATCTGCTGTGCGTTATCGAAATCGAAGTTGACGTAAATATGTTCTAGAAACTCCGTTATTGGATCTTTATACGCTCCAGATTCCTAGAATGATAGAAAATATTTTACCGATGATTGAGGGTATAATCATAATTACATCTAAAGTAGCCGATTAATACCTGTTGGATAAATTTGATCAAATCTTTAAATACTCCACGTCGAATCTTAGTAGGATTTATAACAACAGCCGCTGCCACATAGCGCAAAATGTAAGGACATTGTGTTTGTATCGCATTCACATATCTATTGATTTTCATAAAAGGTTGAATCATAATCAGTTTATGTATAGTATTACATTTATCCTAATCTAGATTTCGGTATAGAAATTACACGCTTATGAATATTACTTACTGTGGTGCATATAAAAATAACTCAATAAGGTCATCCTTGCCCTTTGGATGATTAAAGTATACAAATAAACTCCAATGGATTAGCCAAGTTCGTTGTTGTAATTGTTCTACGACATTTAAGGTTGTCTATAGATATATAAATATATTGAATAAAAAGTGTTCAATTTAGCATTTGCTTGCATAATCTGTAAGATTCTCATAGGAATCATTATATGGTTTAACTGTAACGTTCTTGGATTTACCAATAAGGGCATTGACTTACATTGGTATCTATTACTTCTCGTAATCTATGCAAATCTTCAAGGGCTACATCCCAATTCTGCATTAATATCTCGGATGCAAGTTTTCCCCAAAGAGCACTTTCCCCTTTCTGATCATTAGCGTTTGGTGACAAAACGCGAAAAAAGTGTAGATATTCCGCAGCGCCAGAATAATTACCACATTCATATTGGAACTTAGCGTAATCATAAAGTGCGTCCAATGTATCAGGTTGTATCTAGTTAGTGGATTGCAATAGATTAGCATACTGAATGTAACTTAATTATTACTAAATTACAGCAGTAAGCTGATATTGTACGAATTATATATGTAAATTATGAAAGTTAATACTTGGAAGTTACATTAGCGTTATCAAATGGTATACTGAAAATTTAATATAATAATTCACTAGTTATACAGAATCGACGGCAGTAACAACACCATTACTATAGGATGAATGGATAAACTTACATTATGTTTTCGTGATAAGTAATCGAAAAGATAGCGACCATCCCTATATAATCGATGCAAGAGTGCCGATAAAGAAAGCTGTTATTACAGCGATAAATTTCTACGATTATAATTACTATATCCATTTCCGTAACGTATAGCGTATACAAAACAGCAACCTATATACAGTTTCATATTTAGATACTGTACGTGTGCATTGAAATCAGAATTTTTAAGCCATTCACCACAGAAAATCAGACTGGGGCGGCAAAAATCTCATCACTGAACTGTAGATTATACTCATTTAATATATAACTTGACCTGCTCTACATCACAGCATTAGCTTCAGGAATAATATAAAAACTACAATTTCAGTGTTCCTAATTTAACAATTACTGCGCTACACTGACAAGAATTTCATGAAAACATGTTATTCAGACCTGTGATCCTGTAATAATTTCATAAAATCTTCGTCACTGCTAAAGACTTCAACCACTGGAGTACATTTTTCTCTAAAGTTTTTTAATTCAGAGACAACTTCCGTACGCTTATCCCGGAATGCTATGAAAGATTACAAGATGGCTTTTAACAAAGTGTACATAAAGTAGTGGCCATTTTAAATATGAATAGCCCTACATTGGCGAGGGTTACAAAGGTATAGTATAACACTTGTACGACGTATAATGAACATAGGTGTATTACTTACATTCAGGTACTTCCATTTCAGGGTAGAGCTTTTTATGAACGTCCATAGCAAAATCCACCTGTGCCATTAGTAACATATATTACTTTAGTAGTAGATCAATCAAAATGTGCTACAGTATATTACGACATCATTGTCTTAAAAATCTTCAGAAATATCGAAAGAACGGGTAGTGATTATTAGCATGAACTACTAAAGTACGGTGTCGTCCACTTTTACTGTACATACTTAGTATATATAGTCGCAGTTTAAGGATAGCAAAAACTTGGAGATTGCATACATACCATCTTGGTGTTCTTTAACAACTCTAACTTTCCTTTCAGGATATCATCCTCATTGTAGATCTAATAACCCGAAAATATCACTCTTAATCAGTTTTAGACTATAAATTTTATCATTAACACGTAGGGGATTAATCATCGATAAAATCTATAATTCATCACTAGACAATAGCTATATCGATTTCCTGATTTCTTGTCAAAATTATTAATTTTGTTATGGAAAATTCTACGTATGTATACGGCAACTACAGTGTATTGTCTATCTTGACTAATAATTTATATAAAGTGCTATAAGATGAAGTTAATTTGATAGGTTTGCAATTTTGAACGAAAGTATGAAGTAGATCGTGAGTAGAAAAAGTATAGTTAAACTTTTGAATTTGGTCGCTATTGTGTACCTTGCTGTTATTGCAGTAACTGTACTAAGCCTACAAGTTAGTATCCGTTATTAAGATTAAGACGTTACGAAGAAGTAGAAGATTGTCCTATTAGTTATCCATTTTTCTACTTTGTAGTTGGTAAATTAAAACGATTTGCCGTACAGTACTGTTGATTACTAGCGGCAATTCTATCGTCTACAGAGTAATTGCATGCGAGTACAGTAGCCATGTCGGATTGGTAGATACTTTGATACATACGCGTCAACATTGTATAAAGTAATCACTATCATTTCAAATCGATGGATAGAAAAATATCAACATGTAGTGATGTCTAGACCTGAAATGGGCATTAGCCCACTATCGTTTAGAATTTTACGTTCTACAATTTCGAGCTTTCACAAGGCTCAAACAGGCGGTAGGGAAAGAAGTACACGTGTCAGAAAAGTCAAATACGAAATAATCTACGCTGCAACAGCACTAGTAGTTGATGATCGCAGGATTTTTTATACTCTAATACGACAGAGATTGATTTATCATTACCTTATTTACAGAGAGGAATTCCAAAAGAGGGAAAACGAGATGGCGATCTAGTTTGCTAGCGATCCTCGTGCTTAGATCGAATTCTGCCATTTGGAAGAAAATTTCTATGGATGACTTTGTTGGCGCAATGGCCTTTAAGGCTTATACACGCGCTACTGACTCAGTCGTCAGTACCATACTCTACAGTACGGTCTTTTTTTTTTCAGACCAACACGGTACTGTACAGTACAGTACTATGGTCCCCGTACAGTACTGTACTTCAAGGCTTTTATAGGAACAGGACAGTAGATGGCAGTCAAGTACTGTAGGTACAGTATTTCACCTGGTGCTTTACAGTACGATGTACTGTAATTGAGCTCCTGTAGCAAGGACTGCTAGGACAGCTGGAAGGACTGAACGTTTCTTTGGATGGACAGACATTTGGCCAACTTTGGTCAACAGATTGTGTCAAACACTTCGTTATGACAGCACTTGAGTATGCAGACAGTCGATTCTTATTTTGATTAATTTTTTCCAAATTAAGTAATATAACATTGTATTCTGTTGGCTTTTACTAAGCTCTGCTTGGAAGTAGTAGCTTTACCGTAGATCATAAACATTATTCAAATTAATACGAGTGATTTCGAAAACAGACATGGAAGATTCATACCGAGTCGACATTTTCGGCGGAATCTGGTATGAAAAGTCCATCCATCCGGGGAGGTGTCCACTGTACTGTACAGTACAGTACACTAGTACAGTACAGTACTGTACTGTACTGTACACTTGTACTGCTAGAAGGATACCTGGACTTGACTGTAGTGTACTGTACACTGTACTGTACAGTATGGCGGGATACTCCCAGAGTGATTTGTACTGTATCGTCACAGCTTTGTACTGTACAATTGTACAATGTACTGTACTGTACATACTGTACTGTACAGTAACAGTGTACAGTAGAGAGGTACTGTACGGTGGCCGAGAAGGGCCACCATGTTACAGTAAAAACATGCTCTACAGCGTACAAACTTCCTCCACAGTGCGGCGCAGCTACACAGCACACAAACCACCTCCATAGTGCGAAAACCTGCTCCACAGCACAAAAGCCTCCTCCAGTGCGAAAACCTGCTCCACAGTACACAAGCCTCCTCCACAGTACACAAGCCTCCTCCACAGTGCGAAAACCTGCTCCACAGCGCACAAGCCTCCTCCACAGTGTTGGCTGCTTTGCTGTGTCTAACCTAGTAGAGTATTGCGTGATTGACCTAGTGTCGCACCAGAGAATATAACGGTGGTGATTGTGGAATGCAGATTATTACGTAGCAGTGCAGTGCAGACTTCATGCTCGCCTTATTCGAGATCTTGGCGATAAGCTTTGCATTGCTATGTGTACTGGACAGAAGACATAAAGCGTTGTTGGAGCCACCAAGGCTTTTCAGTACTACAGCGATATGCTCAATTTCATTCATTTCGTTACCACGCAAAATCTCGCCTTGAAGTTAATAACAGTCTCGCAGATTTTAAAGATCAACGTCATATGACTTGTAGTTGTTGTCAGTGTACTTGTCACAAGTTAATTGAATGGTTGATTGTATAAAATGTATAGCGCAGACGGTGGATCATAGAGTTCCAAGTTACAGGAGTTGATTTGCAAATCTATCCAATCCTCACACACACACGCTCAGCCCAGTCTGACCCTACCGTACATTTTTATTATTACCACGTTACAAAATTCTGGCTGGTTGTGAACAGCAAGCCCATATAACGACTGCAAAATGGCTGACATAAAATTATAGGACGACGAAACAATGTCCTTCCACTTGAATATCCTATAAAAAATTATTTAGTTGAAATATCTAGCAGCATTCTGCCAATGTTGCTGCTTTCATTTATCTTTGTCATCTAAAAATGCTTTATCAACTTTAGATTTTTCCTACACTTAGTATAAATAAATAAATAGTTATCAATGTCCACTAATATGGCAATATCAAGTTGGATTATACTGTATAGCTGATACAAATACGATAAATGATAATTGTGATCTTTTATACTGTAGATCATATGTATCAACTGTGGCTACAGGTTCACTGCATATCTTTACAATGGTGAACGATAATTCTAAACATGTAGATGGCGTTGTGTTTCCACTCTTAGTCGTTAACGTTAGCACGAGGAACTTTGATACACTCCTCCTAGTAAGCTTACTGAAAAGTCTCCTTTATTTAGGATTTACTGCATTTGAATAGTATAGCTGTAATGGCGTATTTTACCCTTATCTTAGTAATTCATTACCTTATCTTATGCTAACACGTTAGGTCCAGTACAACAAGTTACTGTATTCTTACATACATAACAGATGGTATCAATTTTACTATTTCTCAGCAGTTTTAGCACCTTCAGATTGTAATATTACGGGTTCGTTAGTCAAAAATTAGATCACGAACCAAGACATGAGCTTGTTGAGGTTAAGAGTTATCAGGATTTTATTTAGAGTCCACGAGGAGCGTACACCAGGAAAGGACAGATAACTCGAGTAAATTAACAACATGTACATACGTACTTTTATACGAGTATCGAATCATGAACAAATAACAGTGATAGGAGATCGGATACAGTATATTTCATACGTTATCTGTTTACAACATAGAATCTTATCAACGTATTATACTGACGAAGTCAAGAATTCAGCAAGGTCTATGCTTGTAACTATTCCATACATAAATTGCTTCTCTATAACATCCTTAGAATCTAAGTTTTGATTGAAATAAGGAATTAGAGACATCCGTGAGAAAGTGCATCCTCAGTGACGGTAGCATTCTGTATAAAAATCGAGAATTTTACTCTCACCATTTTTTTGATCGTAGACAACCAAAGCATAACGGTCGCGCTTCAGAATGTGTGACAATTCTCCCAAGGTTTTCTCTACGAATATCTAGATCGAAAGTTACATTTTTGTGAAATAAGGCGCGAAAAAACAGTCATATCTTCCTGATATCAATGCCACCGTTGTATAAATTTTATGTATCGACAGAAGTATTCGTATACTTCACGAAAATTTTTTGAATTGTTCCTAAATTTACTATTTTACCGTATTAAATCGATCGTTGGCCACGACAGAAATTGGATCAGTATTGTTAACTTTCCCTTCTATTAACTGAGTAACCACATTATCACGGGTTACGATACCGATCGGAACACTATTGTAGTATAAAAATTGGCAGATAAGGTTATTGAAGTATGATAGCGAATAGATTAGAGATAATTTAGAGGCAATTTGACTAACGAGAAATAGTCATTAAATGTGTTCTTATGCTATAATCATTTGCCATAATTACCCTAATTTATCAACGACCGGCAATTGATTGCATAAACCTCTATTTTCAAAATTTAAAGGTATTGAGTAAGGTTTTCATTACAGACAATTTTCGCCAATATAGGTAGTTGTACATATAAACAAAATGTTGAGATGTTTACGCAGAATTTATACCTTTTCATTATTTTAACAACTTCACCGATAGTTATGGTAGGTGTAACGACTGAAGGGGTGGAGATATTGAGTTCGCTAACTGTTAAGTTCCACCACCTAGTAATGCATACAGTATATCATGTATAAAATTTTATTACGGCGAAGCTAATATTGAAGATTTATCCACAAGTACTATGGAAAGAAAAGCATAAAATTTTTAATGTGCTGTAACGCACCAGGGCTTCTGATCATTAGCTGTAGACGGATCTTCGATAAATCCATTCTTCATCATCCAGTCATCATTAATGAATGTGCTCCTATGTTACAAGTATCAATGAGAATATCATTACTTAATTTCAGAATTCTATCATTACAATTCCATTATTCATTCTAACTTCATGAAAAGTGGCTCAAGCGTATACGAACATATAATTGTGAATAGAATCTGGAAGAACGACTACGCAAGTTTGATCTTCACTTAAGTCTTTGGCAACATCCAGTGCTATTGAGAGGGCACTACCACTAGAACCGCCTAAGCCGCAAAAAAGGTCAAAGTACGTGCATCGTCAGTAAAAGATTTCAGAGATAAAAAATTACTGTTCCAAAAGTATATTGTAATAATCGTACCACACAATAAACCCTCTTCTTGAATTAAATATCTAGCACATTTGAAAGAATCCTTGTCATTACATTTGTGCCACTGATCCACAATACTTCGGTCAAAAACAGTTGGAATGAAGCTTTTACCAATACCCTCCACCTTGTGGATGTAGTTTTAAATTCATCCATTAAATAAATATTGATATGCTGTTAGGCTTATTGCAATTAATTAAAATATGCCTTATATTTTGTGGAATTAACGTTCAATTCTTTCGGTTGAGCAAGGACTGATCCTAGCGGGTCTACTCCGATAATCTATTTTAAATGAAAGTCACCACAACATGACATACAATAACTTAAAAAAAGATATATCCAGTTTTATGTCAAAGACCACAATACGTATATAGTATTTTAAAAAATCTCAAGTAGTACCTTAATAGTTTTAATCTTTTCTTTTAATTTCCGACCGATACCAGTAAGAGTTCCACCAGTTCCAGCTCCAGCAACCAAAATATCAATTTTGCCTATCATAGAGTAAACTATTAACGATATCATAATAGTAGGGCTAATATAATAGATAATTTCACTATCGTACAATATGATGATAATTCATTACACGAATTACTTAAAACCAAATTTTTTAGCAGTTACCATCACACTGATTTAATAATTCTTCAGCAATACTATCGTAATGTGCCAATGGATTGGCAGGATTGACGAACTGTGAAAAAAACATGATCACTTTGAATAGTAAAGCTAAGTTAACACACGTTGTTAAATGATTATTATCGAACGCATTTTCCAACACAGTTGCCCGATTAATATTGTAAATTTACCAACCTGATTTAAGATTATGGCATTTTCAGTTTCTTTCTGTAATCTATCAGCAGTCCCAAAGTGGGATTCTAGATTAAAATTATCGTATGCGGTAACCTATTAGTGTAGTTAATATGGCGGATACAATATTTATCTAAAATATTTAGAACATTAATACTTCTTATCGAATTTTTAAGGCGAAAGTACAGTACTAATAATTAAACAAGTCATAGAAAATATACTGCTGCAACACTCTCATATTTTTATTACTTGAATACCTGTCATCTCAATAACTACTCTGGCCAATCATATGCTTAATAGTTAGATACAAACCTGGCGAATCAAAGCTAACATTACTTGGAGAACGGATGACTTCAGCTCCTAGAGCCCGTAGAATCGAAACCTACCAATGTACGGTATCAAATATATATAGTAAGATTGTTTATGGACTACATTGTAGGCGTATATACTGCATGATATCATGATGATATACGCAGCATTTAGAATAACCTTGTCTGTGCTCATTCTTTCCGGCATAGTAATGATACATCGATAGCCTTTAACAACCGCAACGAGGGCTAAACCAATTCCTAAAGCAATTTAAAAATTTATGTAACATTTAAATGTATTACCTACTATTTGCTAGAGTAAGCTGGATGAAGGCGATGAAATCTTGTAAATCAGCGAACAATCTGACGTTACCGGTATTTCCCGAAGTAGGTTCTATTAACGTGTACCCCGGTTTAATTTTTCCTTCTCTCTCTGCTTCCTCTACCATACGTAAAGCAATGCGATCCTTAATAGAACCGCCAGGATTCATAAACTCACATTTAGCCACTGGAAAATAAGTAAAATACGATCATCAGGAATTAATGTAAAATCAACTTAACATTGTAAATATCTGCCATCGAGCTACGACGGAGCATATACGCCTACAATTAAAATATAAACATTGCACGATATATCAACATTGTAAAACAATAATATTTACGGTAATACTCTATTGCTTTCATTTAAGATAAAAATTGACAGTGCTATGTCAACTTAAACAGAAAAAAAAGTAATTTGCAGTATAGATTTCATGCGCCTAATACACATAGATTTGATACTCTATACATAAAAATATCGTACACTTACGTAGACTGCACTTTAAACCAAACTTCTTTTCAATCTTATTTAATCTAATAATAGGCGTAAAGCCGATATTTTCTAATATTGTCTGGCTAATTTTGTTATTGATTTTTCTATAGAATAAACAAGAACCAAATGTTCATTTAAAATGTTAATTATATGCTCTGCACTATTTTATCTTATCCATTAATTCAAATATCTAATCTGAGATACTGCGACACAGACACTGATTAGAATTTTAGTCGATAGTAAGAGGAAGAAGGATAAGCAGCTACTTTCTTAGATTACATTAGGAACGACTATCTAATTAAAATGTGTAAAATGTGTTCTAGAATAGCACAGGGAGAGTGACATAATGTTTGAATTAACTATTGCTTGATTTACCATAAACTACTGCTTACATACGTATTACATTGCTACGCCGGATACTTAGGTACACTGTGCAAGTAACATCGTAATGTAGTCAAGTCGGTGACTTTTTATTAGTTTTCAAGTTGTATTGTTATTTTAATTGAGATGCATCTTTAGTCTGCGATGGTGATAGTATCGAGTACAGTATTACCGAGCTTCGTGATGATGCGGTGATTTAGCACTGGAGCCCAATGCCCAAGCACATTTGGGAGGTTGATTAGGAGGACTTCGCATCCTGTTTCGATTTTCACAATCGGCATCCGACATAATTTTAGACTACTCTAACAAATGGTTTTACAGCGTCTCGATGATAATAATTACTATAGTATACAGTAATTCGATGGATAATTGACTTCAATTTCGACTGACCCAATCGTCCAATCGATCTTGACTGAATTTTTCAATTTTAGCGAAACCTTATAAATAATATCTTGATGAGCTAAAATCTATATGAGCCCTCTTTTAAGTTTAGATTTGGCAAACTAAAACAGAGGCTACTATTCTTTCTTTTAGTACTCCCCGACTAAAATGGGATCATGCTATCATTTTAATTAGTCCATTTGACAATAGAGTTGATAGGATGACATAACTTGTCTACTGTAAACTGTAATTCTGAAGCATGTCTGCACAAGCGCACTATGACGTATTTGTCTTTATCTCTATTACATTGTATGTACAGTACATGTTAATAATAATGATAAGCAACGATGTACTGTACTGTACTGTACTGTCCACACTGTTAATAAGATTAAGATTAACTCCACTTTGATTAGAAGTATTGCCGCTGTACATAAACAATTTTTTTTATTACACGTATGTGATAACATACGGGGGAATTAGCGTGGCCTACTGTACGTGTACTGTATGTTTTATAAATCATCTCATGATGATTAATTAATTACAGTACGGTACTGTGCTGTATAATTAATAGCTAGTTAATGACCACATCCACTTCATACTGTAGTGTACGGTACACCAAGTGATGGACGTGCATAAGTAGTTGTACTATAAAACACATACTGTACTGTACGTGCATAGTAACCGATTCACAATGAATGAACAAAGCTGAAAAAGTGGAAAGCTCATTTACATAATGTCAGGCATATCTAATTACTGTAATAATAGGGAAAAATTGCGCAGTCGTGTACAAGTATATCTCGCTTTATTTCATAATTTCAATATTTATTTGGATATTTGATAAATTGTTATTTTTTATTCATTTGAAAGTACCTAGGCATAATAGTTAGTCAAGTTATTCTTCCTGTAAACCGAAGTTATTAGTAATTTACTGGTTTTATCATGTGGGGTGTTTCAACTTGGAAGTAGTGTGATTGGCGTTAAAAAGGCTATTTTTATGTTAATTTTATGTCCATCACATCACATTTGAATAAGTATGTTCCATTAATTCCATCAATTCTAAATTATAGAAAGGTTAAGTTGATAGTAACTTAGGTGTTACGAGAGGAGTGCTCACTATTATGGTTAGGCACTTGAAATGAATAAAAGGTTACAAATTATCAAAATATTCAAATAAATATTGTTGGAAATCAGAGCGAGATATTGTTAGCAAGGAAGGAAAGGTACTGTACGCTGTGCCGTATCCATTGAACGCTTTGATACTATACCCTTGATCAGAATAAGCCTGATTTTTCCATGATTGTACACTGTACAATTGTTGTAAACTATCGGTCGGTACACCTGTTCACAGTATGCATTGTCGCTCTCACTTTGCATAGGTTATCTTTTACCTTCTCTAAGAAGTGTGTTTTACAGTCTAGAGATCCAGAGAAAGAGATGTGCCAACGTTAAATTGACGTCTATACTGCAGTGCATTTCACAAATTAATTTCATTGAATATCAACGTGATGACCATTCTTGCTCAAACTAAGAAAATTAATCATCTTTTTTGCGATCATTATCATTATCCTATGGCAGTACAGTACTTACAGTATAATAGAAAGTACTGTATCAACAGGCTTAGCCACTGGGAATTTACAGTACTGTACACTGTAGACCAGACCAGCAAGACCTCTATCATCTACAGTACTGTACTGTACAGTACTGGTAAAAGTAACGGTCACAGTCTCTGTTACCTCTTCTGTACAGTACTGTACAGTACAATACAGTACAGTACTTTTCTACCCTACAGTGGTTTTTGGTCTTTGCTTGCCTTGTGCCACTGGTGCCGTGTACAGTGTACAGTGTACAGTTCAGTATACTGTACTGTACTGTACTGTATAATTGCAATCTCTGGAAATCTTTTGTGAAACGCCCTCAGTACGTTGTACCGTAGTAGACACAGCACTGTACAGTACAGTACAGTACAGTACTCAAAGTTTTTACATACTGTACAGTACAGTACTGTACTGTACAAGATAATTCAGTCGGAAACTACTGTCGATGGATTGTACCAGTACTGTACACGACATTGCCTGTAATTAATTGAGAATTCAGAAAGGTTTTAGATTTCGATCATTCTAATATCGGAGATCTCCTTGTTGCCTACGTATGTAAAAGGATCTTGACGTTATTACATTCTACATCTTTGTAGTACTTGCCTGGTCATCGTTACTGGTCGTCGTCTACGAATCTCTAGTATTCGTAAAGGTATGGCTGCTACTCATTCGTTGAGTAAATCAGATACTCTCAACCCTCAAGCTCATGAAGAGTTGTCTACTGACACTTCGTCACGTCCTGATTCTGGCGACGAAAGCGATGATGAGAATAAGGTATTAGAAGAAAGTCCCAATGGAAGATACAAGAAACAAAAAAGAGAGGTATGTATAGCAATTTTGGTGATACTACAAAATCATATCGTTTCACATTCAAAGTATTACGCGGTTCAAAAATGGAGTTGGTTTAAGTAAAACGTGTTTCTGACTAAAGTGGAGAGAATACCACTGGTATTGGGTTGATGGATCATTACACTTGCTCGTCTTATTGAAGACTGCCAATGCTTGCATTTTTCAATATATTATTGACTTGCAGTGCTAAGAGAGCTATAATATTATACTAATTTAAAACCTAAGCACTTTTATTCTATCATTTAAAATGAGTTACTGTACCTTGTATCTTGCAAAGCAAGCCAGTGTGCTTTTTATCTTCCTTCCACTGCATTCTTTTCATGACTTGACTTGACTGGGTTGATTGGCTGGTACAAGGACTATACTGTATAGCGTACTGTACCTACATTCTACTATGCGGTAAGGCAACATAGTCACCCAGTCGGCCAATACAAGACGACACTCAGTGTATTTTTCACAGGACAGTCATGGATAGAGTCTTCAATGTTGTAGGCCATAAGCTTATAAAAGCCCTATTATTCGGGGTACGCAATTTTTTAAATATATAGAAAACGTTCAGGAGGACCATGAATGTGGATAATTTCAGTGCCCAAGCCTTAATTTATTGACACATCAATATTATACTGTATTCCCAATGACGACCGTTTGTCAACATGGGTGGTGGATGCAACACTCTAGTTTGACTGAACCGTACTGTTAACCAATTCCTCAGCTTTCAGTAGTGGACTACTACAACTATCAGCTGGTAAAAAATCTTCAACCAGACATCGCTGAAACAGTTTGGATGTTCAACGTTGTTGAGTTGACAATTTTTACAAGCTGGCCCACAACTGCAGATCAAAGGCGTAGAAGCCGTAAATATGACAACAGTGAGCGGACGTTGCTTTCATAGTAAAATGAATGTGGAGACAAAATAATCGTCTAATCCTATCAGTTTCTTTCTCAATTAGTATAACGCATGTATTATGCAAGGCTTTTACAAGCCTGTATTGTAATGTCTACGCCCAAGGTGTCTATTTACTTTCAGCCACTTACAGTACAATATATCGCAGCCATTCTCGTCGCAGAGAGTGTTGAACCTTTTATTCTGAATTCGTTGAGATTATTTTGAAGATCCCCCATCTTATGATTGTAACATTGGTATTTATCCAATGAGATGGATGACTGTATTGTAATGATAGTAGGTTGGATTAGGTGGCAATCTCTCTAACCTGATGATGTTAAGTGTAAATAGCATAGGAAAGAGAAAGTCTTCTAGAATGGCTATAAAATTACCGTCATGCAGATTGCTCAAACTCTATTAAACTATCGCTTTTGCAGGCTATTAAAATTAATCTGCAATGGAGCATTTTTGCCGTCTACTTCTACACCATTTATCCATGCAGGATTTACTGTATTACTAGAATCGAAAAAATAGGAAAGGTATCAATACTACGCGTCGGAAACGCACTAAAGAAATAGGCATGTTCAAATAGATTGTAAAACTTCAATCGCGTTGACATCTTGAATCAATAGTTTTGTACTTACTGTACATTATCGTTATAATGTGCTGCGCATAGTTACATTTTGATCAGTATTGAATGGATTATGTAATATAATAGATTATCACCCTTAGACTAGTCAAATATTTTACTATTCCAAGCGGTTCAATTCCGTTACCTTCTTATTACATAGGGTACAGTACAAACAAAGTTAGTGAGCTCATCTTAAAACGAAAAATTCTTGACTACCTGGCGTATGTTACTGCATTTATTAAACCATTTCAATAGAAATAGGCGTAGATGACCAAACCCAAAGGATTTTCCCCTCTTATCAAACTTAGGTTAAAACTCCACGATAACATAAAATTAAAATCTCACATTTTACAAACACTTCAGGAAATATTATTTCTGCTACGTCAACAGCCTACATGAAGATCCATACTTTTAGCTGGTTTATCTACTGTAACTTAAAGTATCCGATGGCCTTGACAGTTTCATTGAGAAACTCAAAAACTGTTGGTATCCTCAGCATGATCCCATATTGAAGACTGCATTCTCCCTCGTACATATTTTATTGCATTAATTTGTCGTATTTTTATCCGTGAACATTATCAATCTTACGCTTATTGTCAAAGTAATCAAGTATAAATTGTAGTACTGTATACTGTAATTGGTAGTTTCAAAGTTAAGATGACAGTTTAACTAGGCTATACTATATTGTATGTTGTATAATGAGAATGAAGTAATTACTGCACCATCGTCAGACCTACAGGAAGTGCATCGTGTAAATTAGGATGTTTATGACCTGCAAAATGATGTAGAAATAATAAGATTACGAATTTGTAAGTCTTCAGTAGTAAGCAGCAATTCCTTCATTTTACTTTATGTACGATTTTAACGATGTACGGCACAGTAGTACAGTACAGTATGTCTAGTCTAGCGTATATACTGACTTTGATTAGGCATTAATTGGTACTTGAAACTAACAATGTTTTACCGTTTATCGATATTATAATATAATATCAATGTATCGAAACGAACTTTATAAATATATTTTTTCGACTCCCAAGAAGAAGTTTCTAAAGTGGTACTACTGTACTGTATATAGCTTGCTATAGATTATGTACAACTTCAGTCATATCGCGAAAATATTCTAAAAACGATAAGTATCTATGATGTCAATACAGATGAGGACCCCCTAAAGGGACAATTGTAAAGGTCAATATGTTTGTAATTTTTAACGAAGATACTGAAATATCAATGAGTAATTTACTTCAATATTTTAAACACGCTAACTGTATACAGTAGTTCATGTCAGAGAATTTTCTAGAGAATTACCTATAAAGATACGATACTACTGATACATATCAACTAGACAGATAGTTGAGAACTCTGGGTGAACTGAGCAAACATTGAGCCGGAATAAATTCATGATTAGTATCTTCAAGATTATTCATGCTGTCTTAGTGGTATCGTTACATTAGAATTGAATTACATTGATGGTGTACATAAATGGTGCCCGGATGTTAGTATTCCATGGTCACTATTGCACACTAAAGACACTAGAATGACTCTCCAGGGTCTCTATTGCACACCATACTATGATCTTAATCCTTCTGCTTTGGAGTTACATCACTAAGCACTGAGATAAATTACGTGGAGTAAGACTATGCTTACCTAGCAATGAAGTTTTGCATACCCATATGAAGATTTATAGTTATTATTTTCGTATTGTAATCAAATTTGTTGTAATGTAAGGATGATCTAATATCTGAGAAATACGATATACGATCACCGAACCTAACTATCTTAATTTCATTATAGAGTAATACTTGACATTTTACTATAATTTTGGATTTAGCTTGTTCAGCATGGATCGCTAGGAACGGATGCTTTCTTGGGAATGGATACCGATGAAGGTGTAGAAATTGTATGGAATGAAATATGGCTTTCGGAAGGGAAATCACGTAGTTTCTATAATGTAAGACGTCACTGATTATATCTATCATATGTTAGACAAAGTGATACCTAAAAGTATTATTTGCTATTTATGTATGGATGTATTACAGCACTTGACAGTATTTGCTGGAAAATAAATGCAGCATTAGTTTAATAGACTTTAGTAGCTATTTATTTAATACTCTTTGTACCTATAAATATATTATGCACATTGATATGACAGATGCTATTCATCTGAGATAACACTAAACGTTTCCAATTAAAATTATTTTATAAATCTATACGAGATAATATTTATGCTCTTAGTATCACAACTATGTGTAGATAGGAATGTGTGTTAGAATCTTTGTCGTTTATGTATCAACACTGGATCACTTAGCGCAACTACTACTCTATACCTTCTAGCAAATTCCGATAAATTGTGTTACAGTTGATAATACTTCGAATAGTTGCTCAATTAATTACTAACTATGACTTATTTTTAATCCAACAAAAAGATGATAAAATTCTTCGACAGCCTAACTAAACTAGAGGTAATGTATGTCTTCTTAACATTGCTATAGTTAAATTGTCATTTTGCATAAATAACAAACTATACTAGATTATTAAATTATAAATTATCATGTTTTGACCAGTATGAAATTGTAGCTAGGGTAAACTGATCAGAAATTTTTTACTTGACTAATATTAATGAATTTAGCACAACAATATTGTTGAGTTCTATCATTATTGGACGCATAATGATGAAGTGAAAAAGAAAGCTCGTGTAAGTCTTAGTTATGATATTCATATAAATTAGTTTCTAAAGCACAATTAAATTTACCGGCCGAAATTTCGAAATTAATCATTCGTATAAATTCTTTCATGTCTGCTTCTATAATAGATAACGTTTATTACGGAATACATGACGTCTGGTTCTCTAAAGCAATTTTTAAAGAAAACGAAGAAGAACCAAAAAGGACTTTTACAGGAAAAGGTGCGTAACATCTAGGATATTTATTAGTCACAATTGATGGTTTTACTAGAGAAACGCAATCTCTAATTAATTTAATTTTTTATATTATTATATCGCAGTTATTTAAGCGTTGGTGTCGACAAATTCTTTCTGCCTTAGAGTATGTCTCTATATCTAAATTTTGTAAAGCAATATTGCTTCACTAGATAACTACCAGATAATATGAATACATATGACACAATAAGTAAGTAGGTTTTGATGAGACTATCGCCAATATTTATGATTCCTTGCCATTTTTATTTAAAACTTTAGCCATCTAGCGTCATTCACTCCACCAATTATCCATGGAAATCTTAGCTTAGATACGATCTATATTCAACACAACGGCTTGATCAAGATTGGGTCTGGTAAGTAAATGCTGAATTTGAATTATTATCGACTTTCTTAACATCTAGGTGATTAAAACACCGGCAAAAAAAACTATTACATAACATTTTTGTAGTGATCCCGGAAGCTATCAGTTACCATGCAAAATCTAGGTCCCCATCGGAACTGCAAAATTTGTTTACTGCAGCACCAGAATATGGTAATTTATAACTACAATTATATAAAAGTAGAGTTGTTAGACGAATTACTAGTCTCGATATGCAATTTAATCTTTCAAATATAATACACAGACATCAAAGAAGCTATCTTAACGACTTCTGTGGACATTTATGCATTCGGTATCTGTGCCCTAGAGGTAAGTTTTCTTAGTATTATTTAATTACGTATCCTGACTAGGCTGTCAATAAGACAACTGTAACCGAATTTAATTTTATAAGCATTATCTGTATAGTTTATCTAACATATCGGGTTATATATGTTACTAGATTGCAACGCAATTTTTTGATACTAAAAGTGGAAAAAAACCTTCTCCTTCAATGAATTATTGGAATAGAGGATCTATCCAAAACTCTCTTGAATCACTAGAAAATACTGACTTACTGGTAAGAACTAAGACGTATAACAAACAAACATTTTACGCTGTGATAACTTAAATGAAAGTTTTAACTCGGTCGTATTAATGATACGTCGTAGAAATTTTTGCAAAGATGTCTTCAGGAGAAGCCTGAAATGAGACCTTCAGCTAAGGAGCTACTTTTAGATAAATTTCTTTTTGAGGTTACTTCACTTCGTATTTAAATTACAAAATATCGTAGCATAATTTGTACTAACCTTGGCGTGTGATTAAATTACCTAGGTACATAGTTTAAAATTACAAGCTGCGCATACTATAGTCGATAAAGAAGGTTGGTTGCGCACTTTATTTAATATTTATTGATAACTTTAAAGATTGTTAAAGTCAGAAAGTACTTAACTCGTCGAGGTTGAATATCTTATTTATGTTAGCATTTCATAAAAGGAATTGCATTTTAATCGAAAATTATCTAGTTGCAATACCTGAAGACTCGAATAGTATTCCATTAGCTATTCTATCACAAATGGAAGGAATTGCCGCAGATATTTCTTATAAAAGCAGTGACGAACCATTTCATTTTGGGTAATCATTTTTTGTAGTTGATATTCAGTACAAAAATAATACAAGTACTAGAAATGTTAATATATAAGTGCTCTATTTTGAATAGTTATGCGAGTGGGCCCCCAGCTCTTGATTTAGAAAAATATATAGAGGAAGTGAGGTTGGTTATATGATTTTAAATTATAACAAAGAAGTATTTACAAATGGTGACAATCATAATTAGGAGCGGCTTGTATCCATTAACTTCCGTTTATAAGGATGAAGATTTAGTACGGTTAGTAACGTGGTAACTAGTATAGTTTATATAATTTAATGTACCCTTTCAAATATAGTACACCCGTTTCTACTTTCGAGCAGCGATGACTCCGATGATAAGACGAAAGATGATCCATCAATTGATAGTGAGCACTATAGTAAGGAGACTAAATCAGTATTATCTGTTAATTGTACAATTCGTGCCGTCGAAGATGATGAAGTCAAAAGACATGTAAGTAAACTATGCCCAAAATTTTGATCAATGAAATTTTCTTTCTTATCAAATAACAATTTTTGATCGTATATATTAGCTTGTGATCACCCTTAAAATGGAAAATGAAATCAATAGGGAATTATCGTGTGATGTATCATTAGGTTAGTAAGAGAAATCCTACGCTATATTTTAAATAATTTTATTTCTTTACAATAAAATGAATTTCAACATTTAATTTGCGTCATGGAAGATTAGTTGAGTCATTGGATATACAAATAAATACTCTATTTGCTACATATTATTTGTTAAATTCGAATTGCAAACCCTACACTAATAATAATATATAATATATATTAAACACAGACGAAGATTTATCAAAACTAGCGGAAGAATTAGTTCTATATGGATTTATAAAGCAGGTTAGTATATGCCAAATTAGGGAGTATTAACTTGCTATGGTTACTTTATGCTCTTAGTAACCTCTAGGCCCTGGTATGTGAGCCTATTTTGCAAAATTTGTTTATAAGAATTATTGTGATGTTATTAATTAAAGGACGATAGAGAAAAAGTTGCGCAACATATTGCGGAAAAATTGAAAGAACCTAATTTGCAAGCTTGAATTTCATTTTCAAGACCTAGATGGGTAAAATATTTAACACGTAAGTGTACAAGTCAGTTTAGTATAAAACACGGCAGTAATATGCATGTTGTGTAATAACTGGCTATAAGTATTAGTCCTTCTATTAGTTCTATCAAGGTGCTATTAATCGCCAAATTGTCTAACAAAGTAATGATGCAATTTTAATATTTTTCTGTTAGATAAAAAGAGAAAGTTTAACTGCCATGCGAAGGGTAGCTTTTGACGGTTAATTTGAAATTTTATTCTCCAACTACGTATTACTGTATGAAATTCTGTATAAAGTTTTTTTTTGATTTCTCGCATTAAATTTATGTTAATCACAAATCATATAGATAGTGCTTTGTCAAGGATCTATGGATGCTAATCGAATCAATATTAATATTACTGCACTAAATCATCGGATATTTTTATACAATTATACAATACTTACAACATGCGCATATTAACATTTCGACGAGATGATGACTTTTCAATGCCTCATTTTTATATTATTTTAAAATTTTCTCTTTATGTATAATTTGATTTAAATAATTCAAAATTTGCCTCTCGTCCTTAAAATTTGTACACTATTAAATGACGTATGTTTTGTTTTATTATTACAAATAAGACTCAATGCTGCAAGGTTTTCTGATGTTGCAATTATAGTTTCAACAATAGTAATTGTGATAGCATATTTACTGATACATAATAGCATTGTAATAGGAAAGGGGAATTCTTAATCCTTAAAAAATATCCGACTTTATGAATAGCGACTGGTGTACTACACAATTCTTACCTACACTACTTGAATTACTTTACAAATTTAAACTGTACAATGTAAATTATTGCGAACATTGCAGGTGTTGTATTGGCAAATGAATTTGTACGGCATAGGCAGCCCAAATGCTGTACACTGTTATATGCAGTATACATATACTGTAGGTATTGTACACGACGCATATACGTATATTATATATGTATATTCACCATATGATATTCCTAGTTAGAATAGCCAAACTTTGCTTGAAGTTAATTCTATTTCACTTTTTTATGTATATTAAAACACTTGTACAGTACAACAAATTGATAAATGAAAATAGTTATTTTGGATTTAATAGGTGTAAAAATAGTCGTGTAATTTATTGGTGTTGAAATTGCTAGTTAAACTTGTAGGAATTTATACATTATTGCGGAATGCTATTTTCAGTTTTCAATGGAAAACTCTTGACGCAAGATTCAAAGAGAAATCTAGTGGTGATAAAAATGCGACTATTCTTCTACTGACTTTGTACAAGCGCGCTTGCCTACAATCTTGCATTTGGTTAGTATTGCAGCGTGCCTTGTACTGTACAGTATATGCAATCTACGTAATATACTGTGCTGTACTGTGCTCTAAATTTGCAATCTTTAATCGTGAAATACTATAGACACGGATATTATTCTTTTTATGTAGTCATGTTACTACTATATGCACGGATACGTTACATATGCGTCTTTTGGCCATATTTGTTGCAAAATAGAAGAAATATGCGGTTTCGCAAGTGAAGTTAAAATAAATAAAATGACATGTAATTTACTGATATTTATCGATAGTATCTATAGTGCATAGTTAAATTGAAATGATACGTAATTTACTAAGTATCCACTATACTACTTCGCGTGTTCAGTACAGTAATTCCAGTTCACTGTACAGTACATGTATATTAATATTCCCATCATTATTATCATTACATTAAAGTAATAGCGTAGTTTTGTATTTTTTTATTATACTAGTCGATCCCTGGCTAGTTATACTTGGCGTGTACCGACTGTACTTATACCTTTTACTAACAGGGATATATTTAGCTGCCTACGAAATTGAAATGACCGTAGTATACTTGTATAATACAGTATAGGCCATGACCAGATAGCTAGGCACAGTCGATATTGGTTAGAAGTTCAAAAGTGATCGTGATTCCTTATACCACTGTTTGGTTATTTTACAGGATTTTTACTTGATTTACGGCTACATTTTTATGTAGAAATACTCTTACAACCCTATACCAATAATCAGTCATTTCTCACTACCATTTAGGATAGCAATTTTGGTGCTATATCCTCTTCATTTTGCAATACAGTACAAATGACTGCGGTGGATAGTCATAGCCGTGACTTTTACTGCTCATGCCCAGTATATGTTGTATATGTGATGCAGCTGGAAGCAACTGACGTTTACCCAGTTACAGTCTACAGTACAGAATGGCACAGTACTCTGTATTCTGATCTGAACGCGCCTCACTGTACTGTACTTTGAGGGATGTTACCCAGACATGATCAAAAACAGAGGTCTATTCCTATTAGCGCGTGATACTGACTGTGTCCTGTATAAGACATTTCCACTAAACAAGTCCAACGTCACGGTCTCGTCGCAGTACAATCGAGCTGGCGTCAACCACAGGCGCCTCACTAGCCCACGGTCGTGGTCTACTATAAATAGACTGGTTGCAAGCATTATTGTATCACTCAGTAATCATTTGCCCATACTGTACATGTTGTACGGAAAATTAGCCATCCTGTACTAGCCTGGCCTGAGCATAGACCACAAGGACGAAGTGGATTTTTTCTGCCATTAATGGATTTGATTTCAAAGGAGATATTGGATAGTTGATGTGCCTAGTTAGCAGTATTGAAAAGTACTTTAGTAAGCCTTAATGATACACTACAGTAGTTAGTGATCAATAATCAGAATACTGTATACCATGAGATTTGTTCTTTCCCAAGAAAAAGTGTCTTCCTGTGCCAGTGGATAGAGTGTTGTAATATCCCATTGGTAGGAATTAATAGTATATAGTATTATAGCATCTATCTGTGTCATTAGAAGAGATTGACAGTATAGATGAAGTAGAATAACAGCTATCACAGGTGCTGATGTTAGTTTGCAAAACGTTGGAGACGCTATCATACGAGAAATAGTTCAATACAAGAGGAACATCACCATGGCTAGACATAGGGCAGTTCGCAATATGCACTATGAAGATGGTAAGATACGACCACAGAGGATTGTACACTGTCTTATTTTGCTCTTTTGATTCGTAATGTGGTAGTCGTTTACACCTTTTATTGCCAGGCCAGGATAGATGCATAATCATAATAATTATAGAACATCAGGTATAGTAATTTATCATGACTATGGATTTCATCACGCAATAAGTAGCTGTCTAGAGAGTGAGCGAGTTGTTAATCGCTAGGATATTGAAATAGATCATACGTAGAAGTACGTTGCTGTATGCAGCCACTAGTCACCACCGTCGTGCGCTAGGGTGGTCCAATGTATAAAATACAATAGTGTATCAACTAGGATATAACGTCTATCAACTGAAACATGCGTTTCCCTTTATACCTGGCTAAATGAATAAATGGAAATATATCCTCTTTAACAAATAGTTATACTGTATGTCTATCTCGTATTATTTTATGTCATGATCTAAGATAGTTGGCAATCAATTTCTCATCAGCACTGATTCCAAATCAAACCATGTCAATTTGTAATAGTATTACTTACTAAAATATATTCGTAATAACGTGTAGAATGCATTAAACTTTTAACTTAACTTAATAACCTTAAACAATTTGGCTAAAATACGACCTAAGCGATATTTATGGTATCTTAAACAAAATACGTATTGCCGTTAAAAAATGTTACAAATATGAATTTATAGAATGCACTGACGACGTCTATGGTAGATCTATGGAAGAAGATAGTATGCTGTCATCGAGTTTAGGCAAGTTACTTTCTTAACTTTGTTAAACTATGTCGAGAATTCCGTCATATCGATAGATATAAACGTTGCAATGACTATATTAATGAAGTGATTACAGTAGTGAAAGTTGAGTACAACAGTAAATTAATATCTTTAGCTCATATGTATACGGTAAATTTTTTTCTCTATATTAGTACTCCTTGATAGATACGGTACAATAGCAATACGTTATAGCATGCCCAGACCTGTAATTTATTCAAGTTCAAAGATGAACAGTGCAGTTTTGTTTCTATATCGCAATAATATTGCGCTAAACACTAACTGAAGGACTATATCGGTAACCTCTAGTATCAGGAATGAGTCTATTGTCTATATATATCAGCTAAGTTTTCGTTAACGGCTTCTTGATATACAGTACAGCAAAGTACTCACGGTCTCACACTTAGCCTGTACAGTACGTTATAGCTACAAGTTGCTACTCATAATTGTTTTTAAAATAGGATTAAGTAATTGAACTAAATTTGGTATTTCACTAACATTTGCTATGACGTGTACATTTTGTTATAAAAAATACTATTATAGAAGCGGAGTTTATATATTCAAGATCAAGAGGGAACCAGTCTAATTTTCTTAGTGAATACATTACAAAATCGGCAGAAAAAGACAAAGTTGACGAAGATGAAGATGAATCTTTATTAGATGATTCTATCGATTATAGCCGCCTGAAATTATCTCCTGATAACAAAAGTAAGAATATCGTAAGCATTCCGTCTTTCAGCAACACGATATAATAAACTGCTGTGTCTGAAAGATATATCATGTGTTTCTACTGTATCACCTTAATTAGTTGCATTAAACTATAAAATTTCATCAAATAAAAAAGTACTAACATATAAATAAATCTAGAGTTGAATAGAACATTGTATCAATAGACTATAATGCGAATGAAGCTACTGCGCTAATTACCCTACAATTTTTAACTGTTTTGATAGTAAAACTTTTTGCATGCATGGATCAAATACGCTCGATAATGGGTGATATCTCCGAAAAGAGAGTTGTGAATGTAGTCATTAATGAGAATTTTAATGTAGAAGCCGCATTGAATAGGCTCCTTTCGACAGAAGGTGTGTATAGTACTGGCAACATCTAGTTCGACTGATATATTGTATAATATAAGATGCATAAACTTGCTGAATGTAAATTGTCGCATATATTTAATCTTACTTGTCAATATGGTATAATCTTTCTTAACCAGGTGAAGCGACAGAACCAAACTTTACAGATATTTCAGGTAAGTAATATTGGGTTTTGTGATGCAGACAATGCTGTCAAGGATTATACAATTTAAAGATTAAGATCTAGTTTTAGAATTCGATATTAGACCCTTTGGCGCAGTTTAATTTGCAAACCTGCGCATTGAATATCGGTGCCTTTGTTGTTATAATGTTATCCAATATTCGAATGTTTTGCTTGTAGGCTTAGATAAAGCAGACGCGCAAAATTTTGGATTAAGCTCGGGTAAGATGTATAAATATTAACAGCAAATAATTTAGCGATGGATACAATCGTTTGTAGGCCAATTGGTATAATTTGATGAGATAACTACTGTACAATTACTTCGGCTTTCGCTTTTTCATGTATCCATTTGTACCTTTATTGCATTCGTTAACTATTGAAGTGATAGAGCCGATGACTAAAATATAGTATTAAATGTTGTAGTTTGTGATGTTATTTTCGTAAACATTTACACTGAAGTGTATGACCCCTTAAAGTAATTTTAATTAAATGCAGAAAAGTAAACACTTATACGGCAATACAGTACCATTGCATACTACAGGGCATGAGTATTCTACGCTTCTAATTGCACTTTCATTACCATAAAATTACAGATCGTCACACCAAAGATAATGAACAATTAAATTTTACGTACCATAACGCAGGCAATACCCAGTTGGTATCGGATGGTGCAAATCGATTAGATAACTATCCATCAATCACGCTGGAAAACTTATCGCCCATTGCTAATACTCAAAATTCCATATTTAGTACTGAACTTGAAAATGACCTTAATGTACCATTATCAGCATTAGCTGAATTATCTTGTCTGTCAGAAAATGTAGACACTGAATTACAATTATCACCAATACGTCAAATCGGTGATAGTAATAATTCCCTTATATTTGAAAATTTTGTTGATTTGAAGTCATTAGTTAATAGTGAAGGCACCACTATTAACCAGCAGTCGCCATGGGATAATCTTAATATTAACTTAAACGATATTTTGTCCTCCTGTATCGATAGTAATATAGCTTTCCAGAAGGAGTCGTTAATTAAGAATCAAGATGAGAATCTAGTAATAATAAGTGCCACAAAGGCTTCTAGTAGTTCTCAAATTTTAAATCAGTCTAATGATGCAATCGATGAAATGACACGTAAATGGAACGATGTAATGCAATCTGAAATCGGAGACTTTCATGATTTGGACAAAACATTGGAGACTGCAGAATCCAGTGAAAAACAAGAAATATTGAAATTGGCCAAACCATCGATGTTTGCCAGTTTAATTTCTAGTAAAAACAGTATTCTAGTCTTGGTTAAAACGCAGATATCTAGTCTTGCACAAATTCGTAATCACAAAATTAAAGCCTTTGATTTTAACTTGCCCTCTCCTGACGACAAAGTCATGCAGAAGCGTTCTTTTCCTCAGGAAGGCGAGTATTAGAGAACTCCTGCCCTACCAAAGTGAATCTTAGAGTTTAACGTTAGAAATATTAGTGAATAGATAAAATAGAAATTTGAAAAGTTTTTGTTAATTTCTAAACTATATACTTTCAAATTGCACTTATCTATCCTAGTAATTAATATCGATAAAACAATTATCTGTCACTTACAGTAATAATTGCATATCTTTTACAGATACCGTTGGAATTGCCTCCAATGTTACTAATGCAACACCAAAGTCCAGCAAGGTACATTCACTAACTGAACATTTGGCCACATTCAAAGAGAATAACGGAAAATCGTTTAATTTATCATCGAAGAAGAATTTACAGCCATCAGCGAGACCGTCACCTCCGTGAGCTAGAATCTTACATTTTGTGATTTGTATTCTAAAATCGTATGACTAATATAACTTCTTATATATCTGTAAAGAAATTCTCCTTCTCCGCCACCAAAGGAGTCGGAGAGTACTGCTACCCCTGTTGCCAAGTTGCCTCGTAGTTTATCGAAACAGTTACAGGTTGGTACTTTATGAATGCACTGATGTCTTCATATTTATAAACTATTGGTCACTTCCTAAAATAGGCCATAAATCTTCAAGACGAATGGAAAAAAAGGCAATCCGGAAAAGAAGTTATTAACCTTATTGTTGTTGGTAAGCCAAAGATAGTCCAATCGCGAATTTAATTTTGATCAATGTATTGTCTTTAATTCACTATGTATGATATTTGCTTTCATTTTTTAGGCCACGTAGATGCTGGTAAGAGTACTCTTATGGGACATCTCTTACTTCTACTTGGTCAAGTCGATAAGAAAACGATGCATAAATATCCCCAATAGCAAAACTGTTCAATAATTAAATTTAATTTACAAATCGAAATACTTTGAAACTGTTGTAAGATTTTAGTGTGTAGATTTAAACAATGCAACATTATCAAATTTTAAGAGAATGCTTTATTACATAAAAATCAGAATTTCTTTAACAAAACCGTAAGTATGAGACTGAGTCGAGAAAAATAGGTAAATCCTCGTTCGCGTATGCATGGGTATTGGACGAAACTGGAGAGGAGAGAAAGCGGTGCTTAGTTAAATTATATAGCAAAATGATTTACAGAGAATAAATTGTAAGTGATGCCTATTATTTAATAGAGGAATAACTATAGACATTGGTCATTCAAAATTTGAAACCAAAACTAAGGAAGTAGCTTTATCGGATGCGCCTGGACACAAAGATTTCGTACCAAATGTTATAACTGGTGCTACTCAGGTAATCCGAAAAAACCAAGCAGGAATAATTAGAAAAGATAATATATAATATTTATAAGGGTATTCTGATAGACTTGATGGATTAATAATTTTTTTATAGGCTGATGTCGCGATTATTGTGGTAAATGCCTCTGTAGGCGAATTTGAAGCTGGCTTTGAAGCTGGTGGACAAACTCGTGAACATGCGATGCTAATTCGATCACTTGGCGTAGCGCAACTACTAGTTGCTGTAAACAAATTAGATACGGTTAGTACATATTGCTGCAGTTCTATACCAATAAATAGTTAAATAGGAGAAATCTTATTTTGCTACGCTAAATTTATGCTGTATTATAATTTATTTAGGTCAACTGGTCTCAATCTAGATATGATACTATAATTAGAAAATTAAAACCGTTTTTAAAACAATCAGGATATAAGGTTGGTTATACTAGAATCAGTGACTCAGACTACCGTTTAAATTTTATAGACTGTATTTGTATTAACGTATCCTTATAATGGGTTAGGCTATTCTGCTGCCTTTTTACCCTTGATAAGAGTTAACTCTGGCTTTAATACAATGTTGAATATCATGGAATTAATAATGAATAAATTCATATAGGAATCAGATGTTCGATACGTTCCATGCAGTGGATTAACTGGGGAAAATTTAGTTAAGCCGTCTGATACACAAGCTTTAACAACATGGTATAAAGGGCCTAGTTTGTTAGATTGCATTGGTTAGTATAAATCTTTTTACTATCTGAACGCTTAAATTGTAATTACAGTAACGTAACTGGTTATTATTATTTGCAGTTGTAATAATAATAATTGTATTGAAAGACATGTTCGCTATCTTAATAGATAACTTTAAAATTCCTCAGCGATCACTTGATGCACCTTTTCGTCTTTGTGTGTCGGACGTCTATAAAGGTTTACAAATTATTTAAATGTAAATTTAAAAACTTCGTATGCTTTATTTATTTCTAATATTTAATGAATTTATTAGGAATTGGACAAGGTATTGTTATCGGCGGTAAAGCTGAGTCCGGTGCAGTTGCTATTGGAGAACAGATAGTCGTATTACCAAGTAACAAAGCAGGATACGTAAAATGTAAGCAAAGAAATAAATTAAATCTACCGATTACAGTATTAACGAGTTTCTTACTTGTGTAGCAATTAGTCTCCATGACGAAGCTACAAATTGGACTTGTGTGGGTGACCAAAGTAACTTAACGGTCATTGGTATCGATATTAATAATGTTAGGTAAAATAGCGTCATTGAATCGATAGTATATTAAAATAAACTGTATAGTAGGAATTCTATGGGCCCGTATATCTAAATTACATTCGGCAGGATATTTAATTTATAAATTGAATATATTTTACAGCCGTGGATCAGTGGTGTGCGTTCACGGATCTCTGGCTAGCGTCACGAGAAAGATATTGGTTCGAGCGATAGTTATTGATCCTCCAACTCCTATAACAATTGGATTTACCGTCAGTTCTCTTTTTGGGATTAAAAATCCTTAACTTTCATTTATTCACTTAGTTTTTAATTCTTTAACAGTACTTTATATCAATTTTCTATAGGGGTTACTTTATTGTCATACAATTACTGAGACAGCTTCCGTAACTAAATTAGTTAGCATAATAGATAAAAGTACTGGAGAAGTCATTAAAAAGAAACCCAGGTATGGTAAATGAAGTTTATATAGTATTATCTACATCAGTGATACTTGTAAACCTCTCAGGTCGATCTGGAACTATATCACTTTATCTCAACTGAAATTTTTGTTCTATATAGATGTATCACGAAGCATACAAGTGCAATTTTTGAAATAACCACTGCTCGACCTATCTGCGCGGATTTATATAAAGACAATAAAGCCTTAGGGAGGATAACTCTACGATCGGGAAGTAATACCGTAGCTGCTGGCATCATTATTAAGGTAAATGAAATGTTAATATTAGAAGTATTCTCGCTTTTGTTCCATAACATCCTACTACAGCTTAGTACATTTTACGGTTTAAATTATGATTTCATTCTAGTCAGTCTATCAAATAACCTAGGTATTTATAACCCTAACATTTACACCTCTACATTTTTACCATAATGCAGTTTAAATAAATGAACGCGAATGATCTAATCAAGACTCCTGAATGTAGCGCGTATCAAATTCAATATCGATCGTGACCTGTGCAACTTAATTTATCATTTACATAACTAAGAATCGACTTTGCGTACTGCGAACATCAAATAAAATATAAAAAATGACGGTGTCGAAAGAAATTCTCTTTACTGCTTCTGTATGACTTCTAGTGATGCCGATATAACAGTTAACGGGTATCCGTACCTTGAAATTAAACTTTTTAGCTAAAGAACAGCTTTAGTAGCTTTTGCATGCTATTATTAATAGTACAATGTACGTACATACGAGTGTATACCGTTCGTACTACCAGTAAATTGATCAAATGGTTTGATAACTTGTAGTACTCGTAAAAAAAAAGGCTAAAACTAGCAAGACAATAATAATGAATGAAAACAGACCTACATAAGAACAGTTATTTAGCCATTAGTCGGGCAGTAAACATCGCACAGTATGAATAATGTGAAAATATGCATAGCCAAAGAGCTTTTTAAAAGGGAACAGAGAAGGTACCTTTTAATAGTTCCTGATAGCAGACGTTACAGCGAATTCTATGCAAGATCAATAGATAACCCAGTGCGCCAACACTAATTTCACCACGTTTAGAGATTTACTGCTACTACTAACAAAATCTTTGTATTATAAGCAAAACGTAATTGTATCCAACTCTATTTTAAATTATTTAAATATAGTATTATAACATGAAAATACAACAAAACTATTTAAATGAACAGGTCTAAAAGAGCATCTATAAATTACAAGCTAACATCGAAGCAATGCAAACGCATGGCATTAATCGATCTCGCTGGCACTAGCACAATGAACGAGTCGTAAATGAAGTATTTACTAAAGCCTTAATTAAGCGAATTATAGGGATGAATTGGAATAAGATGAGATCGCTTTCTAGTTATAGATTTAAAGCATTTTAGTAAAAATCGAACAGATTCTCATTTTTATACAGCTGAAGCTAAGCGGCTAAATCGATCTTGCGTCGACAGACCGTTTTTAATATTGTTCATGCCTATATGGCTCCTATGCCCGTTTGACGTTATTGGAGTGCTAGTAGAATCGACCTTTGATGGAATAAGAACACGTTCACCTTTCCTTCCAGAAATCCTTATAATTTCGGGCTGTAAAGGTATTGACAATTCGCGAGAGTTAGATGCGGAGCCTTCACCAAAAATTAACGTGTCAACTTCACTTTCACATCTTGAAGATCCTAAATAAATCAGTAACGTCAATGTTGGGCATCTAACCGAAGTTACTTTAAATTCCTCACAAAGTGATAAGGCATATATCTAAAGTTATAACTCGTACGAGAGGAATTACCTTTCTTACTACTCATTGCAGATGTTTGCCCGAGCTTTGAACTTGTATAGCTATTGTTAGTTTCACTTTAGGATACGATTTATGTTAAAAAAATGTACTACTTAAGTATAAAGAGCATTGAAAGCTAGCTAGCTAGCTAGTTACTCTGGTTATATTGGAAATTATAAAGACGTTTTAAAGTGAACATACCTATTTAACCCAGACTTTGAAGTTGCGCTTATATTGAGACTCTTAGAAGAATCAGATCTAATAAATTTGCTTAGCATGTCATAGACATTTCGATCTTTTGTTGGACTATCTTTATTAGCAATGGTAATAGAAAGCCCAAAAAGTTTACCATCCTGATCTACGCGAGTAATAGTACCATCGAGCCATTTGTCATGGCACAAATTTTCTAACTGTAAAGATGCCATTGGGTGCCAATTACTTCGAAGATCCTCTCCAGCCGATGCTGGCGTCAAATAGCATTTTAATGCCTGATCTTTAGTTTCGTGAAATTTAGGAGGTAAAATTTTCAAACTCGTGCCTTGGATAGATTTTTCGGCCGTACCATAATCAATATAGAAAACGTCGCAAGTTATCACGCCTCTTTCATTTTTGTCAGTTAGAATGCATCTGCACCATTTATTAAACTTGGTACTAAAGGCAACGTACATTTTACCAAGGCAAAATTCGTCTGGTGAAACAGGACTTCCTATTGTAAGATCAACATTAAAATTACTTGACTTTTACTGCCAAAATAGCAATCACAAATCGAGTGGACATCTTACTTGCGTTAGCGCAAAAATCTTGCAATTTCTTTTCCATATCAATAAAGCTGTCAATTTTTGGTATAACTGCATAGAAACAGTTAGGAGATTCAACATGCATAACACAAACGCTAGTCTTCTTTCCCACGATCAAACTTAATCTTTCCTCTACCTTCTGTAAGATGATATATAAATAAACTACGCATTACTAGAGTTTTATAAATAAGGGAAACTTTATACATGATGCATTCATGCTCTATGATCGTGCATGTACGATCCATCGATATCCAAGCAGTTATATTAACGATAATATTGCTAGCATACCTGGACATGGTTAAATTCCGAAGGTTGTTTATGCTTAGTGTGCTCAGTCACATCAGTAGTAGTCAATTTTTCATGACTTGCTGAAATAGACGGTTGAAATTTCATAGTTGGCATTGATGTCTTGTAGTCATTGTCAGTTCTCCTCCAATTTTTACTGTAAGTGGAAGATAACTGTTTCTTCAGCAGATTGTAAGTTTCTTTATTAGCCACACCAATTTCAACTAGACGATTATTAATTTGTTTCGACTCGTTATCAACAAGTATAATTGATAATTTGTCATCAATCTCAGTCTTAATGGTCATACAGAATGTTTTACTTGTTACCATTTCCGTGAATTGATCTGTCGCTTTCGAACCCCAACTGCTACCAAGAATTGGACAGACTCCATCTAATTTGCAAGTAAACGCTTGCCACGGATGCTGACGAAAATCATTTTCCAATACCATGATATCTTTCAATTGCACCCAATCTGTGTTGCCGTAGTCAATAAAGTAAACACTAGCTTTGTCTCCAAATTTGCCAATAACTTTTCCTCGATACCAAACATCATCTTTGTCAAAGCGCGTGCAGTAGCATTCACCTGATTTGATATCCTTCGGTATTCGAAGTCTTTTTTGTTGGGAATACTCGTTCATACGTGCTTGGATATCATTGATTATGGAAATATTAGAAGCAAACTGACACCAAAATTCACTAGGATCCTTGATAAATGCTACGATAACGTCAGGATTATCAACAGAAGTTACTAAACGAGATCGATCGTAGACAAGCTTGATCAAATCTTCTTCCTTGGCAACTGCTTCCCATTTTTTGTTTTGGTATTTTTTAGCTTGTAAATTTTCACCATTAGTGTAGGTAATAGGTTTTTTGCAGTCATTTCGATCTTGCTCATTGTGCTTAAAACTGCCTACAATATTTACTTTACTGTTAGACTTGGGGCTATTTACCAAAGTCTTCGCATTTCTTTCTTCGTTATGATCAACATCAAACATTTCATCACCAAAAGAAACTTTACTAGCATTCGATTGACAAACACTCTTGCAATTATTGCTTTCGTCTAGTTGACTATTATCGATATCGTTACAATTCTTAGATTCATCTGGAGATGTAATGCTACGGGTACTTTGTCGAGATAAGCTAGAAGCGGCAAAACCATCCATGATCATTTGTTCGTTTACAGTTAAGTTTTCGCCAGGCCGATGCAATTCAACACTGTAGAGTTGCTTTCCTATAGAAGAGTTGTCATGTAATATCCTACGTACGAGACCACAAATTCTCTGTTCTTGAGCTAACTGTTGTAAAAAAAGCGTGGAATCGACAGACCAGGTAGATTTGCTATCGTTGGGCTTAATACCGTGTAGCTGGCATTGAAAGATATTGACCGGTATATCTTGAAGTTCGGGTTCTAATCCTTTAATTTTGCCATTGTCAATCAATTCGCAAGCACCTGTATCTACACTCTGTACTAATGCTTCTTTATCACCATCATCGCATACAATTTGCTTGATTATGCCTCGATGCCATTTTCGATCAGTAAAAGGTGCAGCGCAAGCAGCTCCAACTTGGAGCGGGTAGTCTTGATCGGTTGAAATAGAAAGACCATAATAGAGTCGTAGACAGCGTTCCAATTCATCCATTTTGATATTATCTTGTGACTGTTGGCTGGCTATTCTACAATAGAATTGTCCCGGATTGTGAACGTGTAAGATAGAGATATCAATATCTTGTCCTTCTTTACAATCGGGTAAAATATGCTGGAAAGTGGACCTCATACGACGTAACTGCTGAGACAATATTGAGCCTATAGATTCATTTCTTCCATCTGCTAAGTAGATACGAGCAACTAATATCTTGTGTAAATCAGTTTCTTCAATCTTTTCAACGATACATTTAATTTTTTGATGTAAAATTAATTTTTCTAATTGTTGGCAAAATTGCGCACTTAATTCTTCGTCATGTGCATAATCACTTTTAGTAATATCACTTGGTTTAATTTGAACAGTAAAGGATGGTAAATTGTTGAAAGTATTTTTTAACATTTTGACCTTGGGTAGTGGTATCCATTGGGTGTGACCGTAATCTTGAAAGAAAAGGCGCAAATTATCCTTACTTTCATCGAGTTGGATAATTTTACCACGTGCCCAGCCATCATCATCGAAGCGTTTGGTTCTAGCGCAACACAGTTGACCAACTTTAGCCTGAGTTAAGGGGGGAATTTTATCACCACATTTACTATAGAAAAAATCGAGTACATGGGATAATTCACGAACATCTTGTACACTTGTTTGCAGATGTCCCCAAATTTCACCAGAAGGTGACTGAATATGGTGAATATTGAATTCGTATGTAGCACCAATATCAAAATGTTTCATTTTTTCACTTTTCTTTGATCCTATCAACAAATGACGGAAAAAAACAAGATGTTAGATGATAGCGCTTGACTTTGGTGTATCATTTTGTCGTTATCCTATTGTAACCAACTTCTTCGACAAGAAGTCGAATAGTAGAGTGGAATCCCCAAATTACCAATATTACTACAGTTGTGAATAAGCTTGGCTATGATTTCTCAACATGACAACCTCTGTAGTGATTGATTGCATGATTACTTAGCTTGCTGTAGTACAAATAGGCTATTAAAATGGCATAACAAACATCAATACTATCTAGGATTAACTCTAATTAGGTGATTGATTATGAAAATTCACTAGAAGAAGCTATTGAAATGGCATAACAAACATCAATGGTGGGCAACCTTAGACATCAATACTATCTAGGATTAACTCTAATTAGGGGATTGATTATGAAAGTTCACTAGAAGAAGCCTACCTAGAAATGGAGACAGCAAGTAAATTACAATCAGGCCTGCAAGTAATTGGATGCTAAAATGCGGTAACACCTGACTAAAAGTGAAAAACAAATTTTGCAGCATCCAGTTGGACGAGTTGAATCTTTTCGCGTAGGATTACACCACTTTCCACTTTGACTTTAGATCGCAGCAAACAGTAAATCAATATGACAAGGAATTGAACAAACACAAAAGTGCGATCTAAGGAAATGCTTAGCGCAAATTCCGATTTTGACTTTAGATCGCAGCAAACAGTAAATCAATATGACAAGGAATTGAACAAGCACAAAAATGCGATCTAAGGAAATGCTTAGTGAAAATTCTGCTTTGTCTTTAGATCGCAGCAAACAGTAAATCAATATGACAAGGAATTGAACAAGCACAAAAATGCGATCCAAGGAAATGCTTAGCGCAAATTCTGACTTTGTCCTTAGATCGCAGCAAACAGTAAATCAATATGACAAGGAATTGAACAAGCACAAAATGCGATCCAAGGAAATGCTTGGCGCAAATTCCACTTTGACCTTAGATCGCAGCAAACAGTAAATCAATATGAAAAGGAATTGAACAAGCCCAAAATGCGATCCAAGGAAATGCTTAGTGAAAATTCCGCTTTGGCTTTAGAATGCGATCCAAGGAAAATTCTTAGTGAAAATTTTGATTTTGTCTCGTCACTGCGAGTTAGGAGTAATACCTGGCTTGGATTGACCTTTGACTGGCGTCACTGCAACCATGTATCAATCGAGTTGTGTCGAACTTTATCTGGTGTCATGCGTCTTTTAGGTATTTGGGGAATGTCCAATTGGAGACGGTGGCGTCAGGGTGAGTAGACACGACGAGCTGTGGTGCCATAGCAAGTGACACGCGCTATCACCCTTCCGACCCGACGAGACTACGATATACATTATTGTGCTGGCGATTGAGTCAGGATGGTGCTTGTGCACGAGCACTTATTCATAATAATTGTATATGTATGCTAGTGTTATTAAAAGTAAGTAGGCATTTGATGCGCATTTTTCTAGCATGTATTATCTTACCGCCCACAACCGGTTGAGGTGTTCCCAGACGCGTCGATGTCGATGGAACTCAAACAAAAGACTACGAGGGAAAATGGTGGCGATCAGGCCAATCAGCAAACGTTTCTTGGCGCTATGGCGACAACCGATACGGATAAACTTGTTGACGCCACGTCGTTTTCGATCGGAGTCAGATGTCACTGCCAACTCAGATTGATGTCATGTGACAACGGCTGAAATCCAATCAAATGAAAGTAGTCAGTTTACGGTGAGTGGCAGATAGAGCGTCTATTCTCATACTGTGCCCTGTACCCCTTTGCCACTAGGTGCAGTGCATACAGGTAAAAATTCAATTTTGACCTCTATGGTGAAGGCTGCAGTATACAGTACAGTATAGTGGTACAGTAGTACTGGCCTCCAACTGTCCATTGTACAATACTGCGTCTCTTTCTGCAAAGAGCTAGCAGTGGTCGGTCACTGATCACTCTTGCTGCTACTGTTGCAAGTTGCAAGACAAGTTCTAGCACTTTCCCGTTTGTGCTCGAAGCTTTGTGTACAGTACTGTACACTGTACGGTACTGTACTGTATGTACTGTGCACTGTATTGTATTGTACAGACCCTGTACTGTACTGCACTAGAGACCCTCTGTTTACAGTACTGTACAGTGTACAGTACTGTCATTCCCAAGTCGGATATAAAGTACTGTAATGTCTTCACTGGATTTCGTCACGCTCAAGCGTTGATGCGTTAGCTGCGCAGCGCAAGTACTTATGGAAGCAACTGGAAATTTCTAGTGAATCATCCAAACTCTATATAATATCCCGCCAAGACGATGAATCCTTCAATCAATTCTTCATTTTCCCAAAAACTTGCCATACAAGTTCTCCAAAACCCTGACCAGTTTTAATCCTTTACTCTCATTTCTTTCTTACCTTATTCTCAAGATCTCCACCACAGTCCATATTCTTACTTTCATTCACGTTCCCATAACAACAACAACAACAACAACTCACGCTCACGCATACAAATGGCTAAGACACCTGCAATTGGAATCGATCTAGGAACAACTTACTCTTGCGTTGGAATCTTTGACAACGGAAAAGTTGAAATTATCGCCAACGATCAAGGAAATCGTACTACACCTAGTTATGTAGCTTTCAACGATACCGAACGCTTAATAGGCGACGCTGCCAAAAATCAAGTAGCTATCAATCCACAAAATACCATATTCGATGCTAAACGATTAATCGGGCGCCGATTCGACGAAGGGAGCGTTCAATCCGATATGAAATATTGGCCATTCAAAGTAACCAACAAAAATGGTAAACCCAAGTTACAAGTCCAACACATGGGAGAGAATAAAGACTTCTACCCAGAAGAGGTTCATAATCATTCAATAATCATTCCCTTATTACAGTATACGCTTAAGATGTAATACGGGTATTGCAACAGACGAATCATTATACAATTATTTAATTTACGCATATAGTAATTTCGATAACTAAATACAGTTTTTACTATTTTACTTCAATAATATAACAATTTTACAATATAATAATACAGTAGATATAGACTGTACTCTACTTACCGTGCGTTATATTAAGTCGTGTAGAATCGTGATAATCATACTAACTACAACATCAAAATTGAATAACGAAAATACTAACTTCGATGACAATTTAATCATATAATTATAGATCTCTTCTATGGTATTAACTAAAATGAAAGAAACCGCTGAAGCCTATCTCGGTCAGGTATGTACTCAGTATCATTATACTATACAGTACTACACTACAATTTTATTTATTATTTTATTTTATTAACAATCACTACTTGATCATCTACTGTAAATATTCTTAATTCTTATTCTACTCTATTTTGGAGCAGAAAGTCAAAGACGCTGTTATTACTGTCCCTGCATATTTCAATGATTCACAACGACAAGCAACAAAAGATGCTGGTGCAATCGCTGGTCTCAACGTTCTAAGAATCATCAATGAACCTACAGCCGCCGCTATAGCTTACGGACTAGATAAAAAGGTACCTTATCTTAACATCAATAAATACACAATTCAGTACTATGATACTAGTAATTATAATAACTCACTATATACATACACATTACATTATACAACAATAATATTTATAACATTCTAAATTTACATTATCTTATTTCAGTCTAAAAGCGAAAGTAACGTCTTAATCTTCGATCTTGGCGGCGGTACTTTCGATGTTTCAATCCTTACCATGGATAACGGAATTTTCGAAGTCAAGGCTACTGCTGGTGACACTCACTTAGGCGGAGAAGACTTTGATAACAGGTAAGATAACTTATTATTAAAAACAATATATTGTATACTCGTATACTGTATTTACAGCTAATTAATTGTTTTACCGATCATAATAAAGCGCATAAGATACTATTTAAAGTAATAACATTATATTAATATTAATTTATTTATTATTCAGAATGGTTAATCACTTCGCCGCCGAATTTAGACGAAAATACAGAAAAGACATCACACAAAATAAACGCGCTATCCGTCGTTTACGAACTGCATGCGAAAGATCCAAACGTACATTATCGTCAAGTACTCAAGCAAGGTTAGTACTATCATATACTTTTATCATGTAGAATAATTGTAATAATCATCATAAACAATCAAATTTTAAACTAAAACTTCAAGTAATATATACAATAATTAAATAACTTATTTAATTTTCTTTCCATCCTTATAGTATCGAAATCGACTCACTTTACGAAGGACTAGATTTCTATACATCTATTACTAGAGCCCGATTTGAAGAGGTAAATTTCTAAAATACCAATAAAATTATCTACAGTATAGCGATTTTTACTCTATTATAATACATTACACGATAAGAATATTTCATCATGTATATTCCTAAATTATAATACTCTACATTCATTACTATTATTTATATTTAGCTAAACGTGGATTTATTCAGAAGCACTTTGGAACCAGTAGAGAAAGCACTTCGAGATGCAAAAATGGATAAATCTATGATCGATGAAATCGTTCTAGTAGGTGGATCAACTCGCATACCTAAAATTCAGAAATTATTACAAGATTTCTTCAACGGTAAAGAATTGAATAAATCTATTAATCCCGATGAAGCTGTAGCATACGGAGCAGGTAGGCATTTCATTCTTAATAGCTTACTCTTTCGTTATTTCTAATAATCAATATAGATAATATTATATAATATACTATACAATAATTATAATAACTATCGATTAATATCGCTTAACATGACTATTTAATTTATTCATTTCATATGTTTTATAGCTGTTCAAGCTGCTATCTTAACTGGAAACAACGATAATGTAGTACAAGACTTACTATTGTTAGACGTTGCGCCTCTATCTCTCGGTATTGAAACGGCTGGTGGAGTGATGACATCGTTAATAAAACGAAATACAACGATACCAACCAAACACTCACAAATTTTTACAACTTATGCTGACAATCAACCTGGCGTACTTATCCAAGTTTTCGAAGGAGAACGAGCCATGACAAGAGATAACGTAAGAATTACTCTACGATACGACTCATTTTACATATGATATACTATACTCAAAGATTAATTCAATTTATTTCACAATACAAATACATATATATATATATACAAATAATAAGTAATAAGTAATATTGTGTTTTTGTTTAACTGGATATGATAGAATCTTCTAGGTAAATTCTCGTTAGAAGGTATCGCACCAGCTCCTAGAGGTGTACCACAAATCGAAGTAACATTCGATATCGATGCTAATGGTATTTTGAACGTATCGGCTCAAGATAAGAGTACAGGGAAACAAAATCAAATTACGATCACAAATGACAAAGGTCGTCTATCGAAAGAAGACATCGATCGTATGGTTAACGAAGCGGAGAAGTATAAACAACAAGATGACGAACAGCGAAAGCGTATTAATTCTAAGAACTCACTAGAAAGCTATATCTTCAATATCAAGAATTCAGTAGAAGATAATAGAGTCGGTAGTAAGATATCAGATGCAGATAGAACCGCCGTTTTGAATAAATGTAATGAGACATTAACTTGGTTAGACAAGAACCAGATGGCTGAAGTAGATGAGTTTGAATATCAACGTCAAGAATTGGAAAAAGTGTGTATGCCGATAATGTCAAAAATCCATCAGAGCGGTGCTCCAAACAATTCGGGAAGCTCGAGTGAATATAGTAAGAAAGCCGAGAATGCTGGTTGTGAACCAACTATCGAAGAAGTTGATTAACTTATTGCGACTATAAAGATTATGATAAGCGATCATAAAATTGTCGCGTTACTGCTTATCTTTACCCAATACTTTACTAAACTAGACAACTGTAATTTACGGTAATATTAGTAATCCTGTTGCAATGACTGTTGTACAGCGATAACAGTTACTTGAAACACGAAACTACTATCATCAATTAACACTATACCTGGTGCAATAATTGCGCTATCTTGAAGTATAGAACTACTTCGAATCATATTGTTGCTTTGCTTACTGTATGTCGAATCTATATTAGTAATTTAATGTTACAAAATATTTATATTCTGTAGTAGTATTAAAAGTAATATAAAAGTGATTTATTATAGAATCGTTACACCATTTGCAGATCTGATACCGTAATACCTAATTAGTATACGTATAATATGGTAAATCGCTGTTCCTTAATATTTACTCTATCGCAAAGTAATGGATTATTCGTGATGTCATTGGTATTTATCTCCAATGTACTTGCATGTTCTATACTTAGAACTTTCTGTTCTATAATTGCACAAATCTTAAATAAATTAAAATATTTATACATAAATCACCAATCGTACTAAATCGCAGAATTCAAACAGAACAACCGTAAACGCATGTAGTATGTTGCAGTAAACATTTACCCAATTATTATGCAATCTGTATTAATTTCGGTGCAACTATAGTTAAGGGGACGATATGTTGTAATTCTATGTGCTGTACGAGTATAAAGTTGTATGCAATTTTAGGGCAGACATACAGTAGTTTAATCATCAGTTTGTATACGTATTATAAGATTTAGTTTCGCAGCTGTATCACAGACTTGACTTACTAAAAAATGATATAAAAATTTCAGTAGTTAACAATGATCTAACAGTTCGGCCACACTGAGATGTACTATCTACCAGCTATGTATCATGCGTAAAATGTAAGGATAGATTATATGCAGTTAATACTTAAAATTTTAAGCTTTTTCGGGACTTAGTTTATTTACAAACAGGATGCATTTTGTCTACACGATATCACTGTACTTAATTGTTAATCTTTCTCTATTACAACATTTCTAGAATGTACCAACTACTCTCATATTTCTAACATAAGAGAAATATAATAAAAGAAACAATCACAACGCATAAATTGTAGCTTACGGTAATGATAAATAATCGCAAGTGAAACTGTAAGTTTTCTGAAATCTCTAGATCCTCTTTTGTTACAACACTGGAAAGATCCAGTAACACTAATACAGAATATGAATTTAAAATAAGGTACAGTATAAAAACCGCAACCTCTAAACGTTAGACGTAGAAGACGCTACGTAATGTGAGGACCCTTGAAATCAGATCAAAAGGAACCTACTGTGAACAGAAGTATTAGATTACTTATCGGAGTTTGGTCATTATGTCATTGTACGCACATTCCTATACTTTATTAGCTTAACTCTTATTCTAATTCGTCTCTTTTTAGTTGATTAGTAAAAAATAAAGACAAGATTATGATATATTACATGATGTACTATTCGTCTCTTTTTAGTTCATTAGTAAGAAATAAAGACAGGAGTATGATGTACTACAATATATTACTATACAAAGTTATTTCCCTGCTTTCAGCAGTCCTCTAATATATAGGTAATAAGCTAATTTTTCTGAATCCACTTTTAATCAACTTTGTCATCCATACTCCAATACAAGCAATTTTATCACAGCTTTCTTCCCATTAAACTTTCATAATACAATTTATTTGTTGTTGTATCATTCGAAGATAGGTGTTATTAGAGGAGAAAATACAATACATGACATAATTTAGATAATCTTTCGCCACCTAATTTACGAGAATACGAGTACATTTCAAAAATATTTCGAAATTTTTTAATCGTAAGTGTCTCAAAGAAAATTATTTTATTACCAACTTCGATATTTTTTATATAAGTACGAGTATACGCTGAAATGAAGTCTAAGGAAAATGCTCAACATAAGTAAATAGAATCATATACAGCAAATTAACGTAGACATTGTCAACAAATATGATTTACTCTTACTTAATAAATAACCATTCTAAAGGTTATTAGATGCAGTATACCCGTATGATAGTAGTTTTCATAAAAATTTTCACCATTTTAGAAGAATAAAACGTACGGCGTATGCTTATATATATATATATATATATATATTGGAGCGTATATTATTACAGCATATCATATGTTTATAGGTACTATGTACCCTTTCTTACGGAGGTACATGTATGAATAGGTAAAAACTTAGATATTATTAACTCGATACTTCTTACGTTACTACTGTTACTTGAAGTCAAAGTTCGAATTTCTATGGACAAGAGAGTTTCAGCTAAATGATAATATGAATGATGAAATTAACATATGTAGTAACACTGAATAAATAGATTGCATGTACGTATGTACTAAAATAATAAACTGCAACTATCCTTGTGACATGGCGTAAACACTTTCGTGACTTACTTTATATCTTGCACGTATATATTACTACAGTAAGAACAATTTTGTTGTTATAAATACTCTATTACTAAACTAAAATTTTACCTTTAAATTGTTGATTCTTTTGGAATTTTCCTTGTCCCTAGTATAACATTTTCTCCATCTATATCATCAGCCTTATCGCCTTTAATGCGGACATTATCTGATTCCGTACGTGGCTCCTCAATAGCAACCACATTATCATCACTTTGAAAAGGCAAATCATCCATTGGTCTCGGTATGTCTGGTTGACTTACGTCAACATTCGGTTTTGGTTGCTTAAAGGTAAACTGGTTATTGGTTGGTCGATTTGCATGCTGTATAGTACTAACTTCGCGAATACCCCTGAAATAATACTGAGTAGTTGATAATTCTTGGAGCTTGTCAGGAAGATAGTTAAGCCTATTCGGGTGAAAGCATGCATAATATGATATCATGCTTAAAAAACCAAAGAAATATCCACCAATGATAACGAGGAGGGCAAACATGCGCATCTGAGTTAATTGTTGCGTTAGTAACCATATCGTCATAGCGACAGCCATTTCCAAGATTGTAATTATATAATACAATATGTAGCGTGAGCGCGATTTACCTAAGAAAAGTAGAAAGGTATTGATATACACTTTATATTCGCATAGTAGTTGCTACTTTATAAACTGATTTATACATCAATTAAAACTTATAAACGAAATTTGTACAGTAGTGAAAGCCTGATTTTCCCTCTTACCATTCTTCAAGTTAAATACGCAGAAAATATAAATAAATCCACCAATAACGCAGTATATAATTCTTTTCAGTGCTGACTCAGGAAATTGCTCCTTACCATTCTCGGTATACCACAGATAGAAAGTAAAGAATAGCCAATGGCAACCCATTAACACAAAAACAAAGTAGGTAAATACAACGGCAAAAAGGCCAAGGAACACGGAACGGCATAGGATGAATAAATACCTCCATATAAATATCATCATTATTCCTGAAATATATTATTTTATGGCATTAAAATTTAAAGTATAAAAATAAATAAATGAATTAATAAACAACCTATCGACATGATTATTAGATGAGCATGTCATAGCACTGAATGTAGTTGATATATTTAATACTATAGTTGGAGGTAATTTGACTGAACGTACCTGGCAAGGATAATCTTTGTTTGGGAGGGTAGTGTGCTTCATGTAGAGTCTTGCTGTATTGTACTAAACTTACAGCTACTGCTACTCCAGAAATTAGGACTGATAAGGTTGTAATAAAGTCAGATTTTTCTTTATTTAATAAGATATACATCTGTAACACTACTTGCGGAGCTGATTCGATAAATGATTCAACTAAATCCATCAGATAAGCGTCATGTAGGTCGTACAGATATGAGATATGCTGGCGCTCTGTATGATTCTTCATACCTTTGTAGAAAATATATATTTTCCTAAAAGATAATAAAATTATATAAAAGCAATTGCTAAGTTAGTTTCATATTTAGTATAATTTGTTCGAGCTCCACATCTTGTCATACTGGTATAATATCAATTATAGCATTGACAACGGGGATATCAGAGTAATTACATCAGAAATAGTAGGAACAGAATGAATTAATTACTGTATATTTGACCAATGCTATGATTTAGCAGGTTAAACGTGAATAATTCATAGTTCGGTAATCCGTGATATTACGAAACTTGTCACAACAAGCAATGTCGATGAATAGTACATTTTGCATCACCTCTAGCTAGTCGTGTAGTATCACCTAAAGACGCTAAGCAGAGACTTATTAGCCTACTATATAAGCGTATAGAACCCGTCTTCTAGCTAGCGTCGTCACTCAATTACTTACTACTATACTGCTCTTCTATCTAAGCTCATATTGTAAGCTAGCTACTAGCATACTGACAGAGAATAGAAAATAAACATACGTATTACTCGCATATAATCTCGTACAGTCGATGACTAAATTTGGAAGGCATGAGTGTACTAAGAGCCTTTTATGAGCGCAAATTGAAAGTCTCTAAATTATCACTACTGTACTACAAAAGTGATCGCATGATACTACGTATTGATATTGTACTTTTATAAATTCATAGGTAAAATTGATAAAAATTGATCAAGAATGACATGACATAAAGTAGAGTATGTACAGTACCACTATATCCGATTGATTCGATTGTGCAATAGAGTACGGTATGAAGTATCCGCATACTAGTATTTTAGTGGTAAGTCTTACCTTTGCACTTGACTCAAACAGAAAAAGTGGCTAATGTAGAAGTATGGACCACCATTATGACTTGCCCTTTTCGTTTTATCACAACAGCTAGTACTCCACATGATGGAAAAGATTTGCACAGTAACGGCACTGCAGCACATCATGACAATAATCATTATAAACCAGATAGTATCACCATCTTGATAATATCTGATGGCTACAACGATATCCGTAACGTAATCTAATGTAAACAGTAAGATGGATATGATTAGCCTAACTAAGCGCATTAAGGAGAATCGATAGGAGATGGTTCGCTGGCCATTCTCGATTTTAATGGTTTGGGCAGATTTGAATATGCCATCCACTCGGTAAGTTCCATCTTGCTTAGGAATTTGACTTGATCGAATCATCACACTTTGCTGATTGATGTCTAGCGTACACAACTTTTCCAATAATGTTATCACTATTTAGTCCAAAATGAATGATCGAAAGTAATGAACAGTAAAATCTATCATTGATGCTATTATTTCATGATAGAATGTGGAATTATAATCTAATTATAATGTTATGATTTAAAGCTAAAATTTGCATTTAAAAACAAAATAAGTTTTCAATTCAATTTACTGTACTAGCAGCAGTAGGAGGACAGAATTTTCTGGTCGCATATCCTCTTCTAGTACAGTGTGTACAAAGGTGAGTAGCAGAGCTCAGTAATACAGATGTACTGTAGTAGTAATACAGTACAGTAGTACCTTGTACAGTATTACCGATGTACAATATACTGTACCGTACACTTTTTCTTTGGACAGTAGAGTACAGTACGATGTACTGTACTCTGCTATACTGTACTGTACAGTACAGTACAGTACAGTACTGCATTACAGTACGTACCGTACTGTACACTGTAGATTGAATCCACTCATTTTGCGGGCAGTCGGCAAACGCATATCCAGCGTGTCCAAGAATTATCCCCGCGCAAAAAAGAACACTTTTTTGCGGTTAATTAAAATAAAACATCAATAAAACTGATACCATTCGAAAGCTTAGATTGCATGGTAGATGAAACTGAAGACAGGTTTAAAAAATTCTGCTGTACAGTACAGTACTGCTGCTACTTTTAAAGTAGAGTATTGACTAGTCTATAGTGATATCTAGTAAGGTGCCGTATATGACAGTACTAGTACTGGATATTACGGACTACTTTGGCTGATAACTTACTTGATTGTCCTCTCTTTGTGATCGATCGATCTAAACTATGACGTCATTTTGGATGACAACAATACTGTATCATGATGATAGGACGGCTGTATCACCTGCAGGTTTCCTTCAAAATCTTCCCTGGACTTGGTACTGTATAGCAGTTAAAAAGCAGAAAGAAGGGCAGAGAGGGACGGAAAACTGCCATTTGCTATACCAATAGGGTGGAGGCTGATTATTTTATTTTATTTTATTGATTGATTGATTTGAATAATCATTTCAAGCGTATAGCCTATCTGCAACGATACGCTCACTATACAGTACAGTACTATACAGTGTACAGTGTACAGTACTGTCGGTCGTACAGTACTATATACAGTACAGTACAGTACTGTATAGCAGTAGTACAGTACAGTACAGTACAGTACTGTCCATTGTACAGTACAATACAATGTATCTCTATCTGGAAGAGCTAGCAGTAGTCGGTCAGTGGTCACTCTTGCTGCTACTGCTGCAAGTTGCAAGACATGTTCCAGCACTTTCCCGTTTGTGCTCGAAGCTTTGTGTACTCTACAGTATGTACTGTACACTGTATTGTACTGCACGATACTGTACAGTACAGTACAGTACACTGCTGTCATTCCCAAGTCGGATATAAAGTACTGTAATGTCTTCCCTGGATTTCGTTACTTCCCTACTGTACAGTGTACATACAGTGCTGTATATTGTAAAGTACTGCGAAAGATCGCGCCTCTATTGTGATGCGTTAGCTGCGCAGCGCAAGTACTTATGGAAGCAACTGGAAATTTCTAGTGAATCATCCAAACTCTATATAATATCCCGCCAAGACGATGAATCCTTCAATCAATTCTTCATTTTCCCAAAAACTTGCCATACAAGTTCTCCAAAACCCTGACCAGTTTTAATCCTTTACTCTCACTTCTTTCTTACCTTATTCTCAAGATCTCTACGACAGTCCATATTCTTACTTTCATTCACGTTCCCATAACAACAACAACAACAACAACTCACGCACACGCATACAAATGGCTAAGACACCTGCAATTGGAATCGATCTAGGAACAACTTACTCTTGCGTTGGAATCTTTGACAACGGAAAAGTTGAAATTATCGCCAACGATCAAGGAAATCGTACTACACCTAGTTATGTAGCTTTCAACGATACCGAACGCTTAATAGGCGACGCTGCCAAAAATCAAGTAGCTATCAATCCACAAAATACCATATTCGATGCTAAACGATTAATCGGGCGTCGATTCGACGAAGGGAGCGTTCAATCCGATATGAAATATTGGCCATTCAAAGTAACCAACAAAAATGGTAAACCCAAGTTACAAGTCCAACACATGGGAGAGAATAAAGACTTCTACCCAGAAGAGGTTCATAATCATTCAATAATCATTCCCTTATTACAGCATACGCTTAAGATAAGATATAATACGGGTATTGCAACAGACGAATCATTATACAATTATTTAATTTACGCATATAGTAATTTCGATAACAAAATACAGTTTTTACTATTTTACTTCAATAATATAACAATTTCACAATATAATAATAATACAGTAGATATAGACTGTACTCTACTTACCGTGCGTTATATTAAGTCGTGTAGAATCGTGATAATCATACTAACTACAATATCAAAATTGAATAACGAAAATACTAACTTCATAACAATTTAATCATATAATTATAGATCTCTTCTATGGTATTAACTAAAATGAAAGAAACCGCTGAAGCCTATCTCGGTCAGGTATGTACTCAGTATCATTATACTATACAGTACTACACTACAATTTTATTTATTTATTTTTATTTTATTAACAATCACTACTTGATCATCTACTGTAAATATTCTTAATTCTTATTCTACTCTATTTTGGAGCAGAAAGTCAAAGACGCTGTTATTACTGTCCCTGCATATTTCAATGATTCACAACGACAAGCAACAAAAGATGCTGGTGCAATCGCTGGTCTCAACGTTCTAAGAATCATCAATGAACCTACAGCCGCCGCTATAGCTTACGGACTAGATAAAAAGGTACCTTATCTTAACATCAATAAATACACAATTCAGTACTATGATACTAGTAATTATAATAACTCACTATATACATACACATTACATTATACAACAATAATATTTACAACATTCTAAATTTACATTATCTTATTTCAGTCTAAAAGCGAAAGTAACGTCTTAATCTTCGATCTTGGCGGCGGTACTTTCGATGTTTCAATCCTTACCATGGATAACGGAATTTTCGAAGTCAAGGCTACTGCTGGTGACACTCACTTAGGCGGAGAAGACTTTGATAACAGGTAAGATAACTTATTATTAAAAACAATATATTGTATACTCGTATACTGTATTTACAGCTAATTAATTGTTTTACCGATCATAATAAAGCGCATAAGATACTATTTAAAGTAATAACATTATATTAATATTAATTTATTTATTATTCAGAATGGTTAATCACTTCGCCGCCGAATTTAGACGAAAATACAGAAAAGACATCACACAAAATAAACGCGCTATCCGTCGTTTACGAACTGCATGCGAAAGATCCAAACGTACATTATCGTCAAGTACTCAAGCAAGGTTAGTACTATCATATACTTTTATCATGTAGAATAATTGTAATAATCATCATAAACAATCAAATTTTAAACTAAAACTTCAAGTAATATATACAATAATTAAATAACTTATTTAATTTTCTTTCCATCCTTATAGTATCGAAATCGACTCACTTTACGAAGGACTAGATTTCTATACATCTATTACTAGAGCCCGATTTGAAGAGGTAAATTTCTAAAATACCAATAAAATTATCTACAGTATAGCGATTTTTACTCTATTATAATACATTACACGATAAGAATATTTCATCATGTATATTCCTAAATTATAATACTCTACATTCATTACTATTATTTATATTTAGCTAAACGTGGATTTATTCAGAAGCACTTTGGAACCAGTAGAGAAAGCACTTCGAGATGCAAAAATGGATAAATCTATGATCGATGAAATCGTTCTAGTAGGTGGATCAACTCGCATACCTAAAATTCAGAAATTATTACAAGATTTCTTCAACGGTAAAGAATTGAATAAATCTATTAATCCCGATGAAGCTGTAGCATACGGAGCAGGTAGGCATTTCATTCTTAATAGCTTACTCTTTCGTTATTTCTAATAATCAATATAGATAATATTATATAATATACTATACAATAATTATAATAACTATCGATTAATATCGCTTAACATGACTATTTAATTTATTCATTTCATATGTTTTATAGCTGTTCAAGCTGCTATCTTAACTGGAAACAACGATAATGTAGTACAAGACTTACTATTGTTAGACGTTGCGCCTCTATCTCTCGGTATTGAAACGGCTGGTGGAGTGATGACATCGTTAATAAAACGAAATACAACGATACCAACCAAACACTCACAAATTTTTACAACTTATGCTGACAATCAACCTGGCGTACTTATCCAAGTTTTCGAAGGAGAACGAGCCATGACAAGAGATAACGTAAGAATTACTCTACGATACGACTCATTTTACATATGATATACTATACTCAAAGATTAATTCAATTTATTTCACAATACAAATACATATATATATATATACAAATAATAAGTAATAAGTAATATTGTGTTTTTGTTTAACTGGATATGATAGAATCTTCTAGGTAAATTCTCGTTAGAAGGTATCGCACCAGCTCCTAGAGGTGTACCACAAATCGAAGTAACATTCGATATCGATGCTAATGGTATTTTGAACGTATCGGCTCAAGATAAGAGTACAGGGAAACAAAATCAAATTACGATCACAAATGACAAAGGTCGTCTATCGAAAGAAGACATCGATCGTATGGTTAACGAAGCGGAGAAGTATAAACAACAAGATGACGAACAGCGAAAGCGTATTAATTCTAAGAACTCACTAGAAAGCTATATCTTCAATATCAAGAATTCAGTAGAAGATAATAGAGTCGGTAGTAAGATATCAGATGCAGACAGAACCGCCGTTTTGAATAAATGTAATGAGACATTAACTTGGTTAGACAAGAACCAGATGGCTGAAGTAGATGAGTTTGAATATCAACGTCAAGAATTGGAAAAAGTGTGTATGCCGATAATGTCAAAAATCCATCAGAGCGGTGCTCCAAACAATTCGGGAAGCTCGAGTGAATATAGTAAGAAAGCCGAGAATGCTGGTTGTGAACCAACTATCGAAGAAGTTGATTAAATGATACTATTAAGCTATCATACTACTGCTACGCTACCATCATATCTTTGCGTAATACTTGCTTAAACTAAATAGCGGATATGTTATGATAATACGATGCTATAATATTAGTGAGTGATACGATTATATATCATGAGATGATAGATTAATATTGTGAACGTATACTCCTAAATGTCATTTTATACCTTAAAAAGGTATCTTTAATATAACTCCACATTGGTACTATGTTTTGCAAGTAACATTTTAACTGTAATTACTTTCGTAATTATAGAATTTTACTCCGTTCGATATTGACAAAATATACTTAGTAATTGGTTTCAGTTATGTTGACCTAAAGTACTTAAGCGATTTCGTCGGTAACAAATATTTGTATCACTCTGTAGTAATATTAAGAAATAAATTAATAGTATTTAAAATTTGTGTTATCAGAAGATTTAGCACCTCACGCGTAGATGCTAAAATAATTTATGACGAATTGTTATCTCACATGTATTGTAAATTATTATTACCGATACTGTTTCAACAATAATCTGATAATATCTTCACAACTATTACTATAAGATTTAATAAATAAATACATTGAAATTTTAAGAAAAGATCTTAAAGCAGCCAAGAAATGTTTATTCATAATACTAGATGTTGGTGCGTCACATTAAAATCGAAGCCTAGGTAGTTACCTTCCTAGATACACTCGTATTCAAACCTTTATAACTGTAAGTCTTAATTGGGTATAAATTGTAAAAAAAGTTAAAGTTTATAATATTTTATTAGTATTACTATTACATCCCAACAATAAGTTGTATATCTATATCTGAGCACTGACAGATGCGTAATATACACATAACCGCTACATTTAGTCCGTAAAAGGATTACATCCCATAAATATACAGCATAAAGTATAGTCGTAACGCAGTATAATACACAATTAGAGTAATACAATTACAACAGAACAATAAATATGGTATCCTACAACAATAATTACAACAAGGAGATACAACTATTCCTAAAACTACAAAGTATTTACAAATGAAATCTAAACTTCTATTAACATAACACACTATCCTGCTTGTAATGCTACTTTAGTATATCATTTTATTCCATGTCAAATATTGCTATATTTATGACGTTCAATGTTAACAACGCTGTAGAAATTGCAGAACCCATCTATTCCTCTCTATTCTCAATTAAGCAAGCAGATACAAGATTGACTTCAAATTATATCTAATCTGATATCTACGGTATGACAATATCTGTATATATATAAATTGTAACTATTGTACGATAAGATACGTGCAGTAAAAGGTTTCTACTTTCATGGAAACAAATGTCAGAAACATAACTTATTAACATTACGAATTCTTTTTGTAGATAACTGTTTTATTAATAAAAAGAAATTCTAAAAATCATACTATCCAAAAATGTAATGATTCAGTTATATAAGCTGCCTACGTTTAGGTTAAAACTTTGCATAGTACAATATTTTGACATGCTACTTTAAAATCGACAGTTTCATAATCATGTTATAGGTAAACGTAATAATCTAATAAGTGAATTAAGTAAAATCCATTCTAAAAATTACATAGTACTGTATGTTACTTTAGTGTGTCATTGCAAAATCAACAATCCTGTATCATATTATGGATCAAAATAATGATATGGTGTACGAATCGAGGAAATCTATCCTTAAATTATACAGCAGATCATTTTAGCATTTCAATTTAAAATGGATAATCCTATCATTGTATCATCGATAAATATAATAATTCAGTGTGTGAAGTAAGTAAACCTATCCTAAATTTCTATAACAGATCATTTTAGCATATAAGTTTAAAGTTAGCGATACTATCATCGTGCTATTGGTACAGGTAATAGCTCAGCGTGTGAAGTAGTAAATGTATTCTAAAATCACATAGTACAGTAGATAGCTTCAGCGTGCTTTATTGAAATCGATAATCATATAATTGCTATCGGCAACGCAATAAATCTATCCTAAAATTACATCGCAGATCATTGCAGTATAGCACTTCAAAACCAACAATCCTATAATTGTGCTATTAATACTGGTAATTACTCAGCATGTAAACTAGTCAATTTATTCTAAAAACCACATAGTAGATCATTTCAGTATGTTATTCTTAAAATCAATGTCCTATACATGCTACAACAAACATAATAATCTAGAATGCGAACTGGGTAAATCCGTCTTAAAAATTAATTACATAACAGATCACTATAGCATATACATTTAAAGCAGACGATTCTATATAATCATACTATCAGCAAATAGAATAATTCAGTATTTAAACCGAGTAAATCTATCCTTAAATTACATAGCAGATCATTCAGCATAGCATGATTAAAATTGTCGTCGTAGTTAGTGACTGCGTGGTAAATCGTGGTACTGTAGAACGTGATCAACATCACAACGACTGCTATGATTCATTCGCCATGTCCTACAGTCGCAGTTGTTTCACCTCAGGAGTTGAATCGCATCACGTTGAAATGAAAAATTTGGGAGAAGACTATAATAACTCAGAGAAAATTTTCAACTTACAGTGAAGAATTTTTAATTTCCAACCAGAACTTATGTTTTCGAGGAAACCGAGTAAATCTATCTTTAAATGACATAGCAGATCATTCAGCATAGCATGATTAAAATTGTCGTCGTAGTTAGCGACTGCGTGGTAAATCGTGGTGCTGTAGAACGTGATCAACATCACAACGACTGCTATGATTCATTCGCCATGTCCTACAGTCGCAGTTGTTTCACCTCAGGAATTGAATCGCATCACGTTGAAATGAAAAATTTTGGACAAAACTATAATAACTCAAAGAAAATTTTCTACGGATGCAAGAAAGACCAGTGAAAATTTTCAACTTACAGTGAAGAATTTTTAATTCTCAACCAGAACTCATATTTTCAAAGACAAGAAAAGAAAAAACGACCAAGTATCATGAAATCCATTAAGAATATAAGGTATAGCAGACTATTATGTAATAATAGTGGCAATTTTATATAGAATATCAAGATCAAAATTGCAAAATTCTACTTCGTCAATAATTTTGCTTAGTGGTTATGGAGTAATTATGGCAAATTATCTTCGATAGCCTAGAATAAACGTTTAATCGATATTTAAAATATATTCAACAGTGAAAATGTACTTAAAACTTTATAAAATGATCTTAAATAGCTTAACTTTAAATTAAAGAAAGTAAAATATCTTGAAATAATACATTTTTTCTAGTGGATATTCCTATTCCTATTCCTACTCTAATAAAAGGATACGAGTTTTGATACTTGTCGCTACGGAAAGTAATATTGAAGGTCAGATAACAGGTGGGCTCTAAAGATTTAAATGTCGATTTATTGATTATATAATTATAATTTTTCAGTTATTTTAGTCATCATATTATTTGATAGCATATTATATTTAGCTCATCAAAAGAATCACTATAAGATATCGGAATAATTAGTTTAAACTTGAATGAATTCAATCCTGTTCGTGAGAATACAACTGATCATTTAATGGTAATCACGGATCCTAACGAATTACCTCTGTGTATACACAATTTAAGTTGTACCGTCAGCAATACAGGGAAACTTCTTATATGAATAGCTCCAATCTAAATCGTATCTTCAAAATAGCAACACTTGGTACACATACAATTTTAGACCGTATCTTAATAATAAATTCAATGAAAATTCTTCGTTTATAAAGTTTCAATTTTGAATAGTCTCTTAAAATTTGTACTAGTACGTACCATGATGAGCCAAACTGCGTATACAGAATTAAACAAGTTTTAGGCTTACTGATTTCACCTGATCGTGACATTAGTGCAGTATTTATTATCTCAAGATTTTGACCTCCACCTTCCTAATTCCTAAACCCATTCTTCAGCAATAGCTAGGCCATTTATGAGATCCAATATGTAGATGAAAGTTATATGTGCATATAATATTCTAATATATTTTAATTTAGCCATTACATAACAGTTGGATTAAAAAATTTGGACATCTTTTATTAGATAATCTACCCGATAATTCCATTTGTAACGCAAATAATAATACGAAGAAAGAGCTCAGCATTATATCCAGCAATTCTAAGAAAATTTGTTGGAATCATCAGTTTTCATCAGATGGGACTGTTACTATTAACGGTAAATAGACATCTAGCATATGCTTCTATTAATTTCAAGTTGCTTTTAAATCAGAGGTATATTGATAACTGTTTTGAAAGATTCAGATAAAATGTTAACTTTTTGTGGTATAGTCCACCTTTAGTTATTTATCATATAGAAATCCTTCAAAATTTTTACTAATAAAATTAGGAATTCGACATGACATCCTATGGAATCCGTTGAGAGATTTATTAAGTATAAGTTTATGTCTATCAAGAAATGGAATAAGTCGCGTAGCTACACTTTCGGATGATAAGTACAGCATACATTATGTTGTAATTATAACATCATTATTTTAAACCCTTTTATTAAATTGATGACCATGTTGTAAATTGTTTTCTTTTAAGGTGCAAGAAGACTCTACAAACGAATGTATTGGTAACCATCAAGAGTTCAAGGGAAAATATCAGCCTCTATCTCAAAAGTAAGATACTACTCGCATGGCATCCAAAGAATCAAGCTCGTTTAAGACGCATGAGAACTCTTATACCGCTATCTGATAAGCACCAAAATATGAGACCAATAGCACGACGCAATGGAAACAGTAGCAAAAATATCGTCAAGCATTTTATGATTATGCGAAAACGAACAAAATCTCGGATATTAACAAAAACCTGTATAGCTATTAAACTAAAGAACTCATTCACTAAAGCCGGTTATAATCATGGGCCTTTTCGGTTTATTACTACCAAACTCAGTTTCAGTCTTCCACAGTCAATAATAAATGCATCTAATTCTGAAATTATAAGATTCAGTAGCGACAGGAGGATGTATTGCTCCTCAAGAGCCTTTATGGAGTGCCTAGATTATCCCTTGAAGTCTCTGAGGAGTGTCCCGGATGATAAGTTCTCCGATGTCGGACATGTATTACTTCCTGCTTCATTCCAAGAACTAAGTCACTTTGAATATGTTGTATTTAAAAGATTTAATGATTATCTCTTGCAGTATAAAGTCATCACTGCAACATATCAAAACACAGTCAGTGGGTTAAATCTAGAGAAGATTAACATTTGGATTACTTCTTATGGTGCTAACTATGATATATATCCAACCAACTCAACTAACACATGGAATCACGATAAGATACTGTATTTACTCTGTACTCTGATAACCAACTATTATCGAGCTACCAGTATAACACATCACTTAAAGGATTACATTGATCAATCTACAATCAGTCCGACGTTTGCTTGCTTAAATCATAAAAGAAAACAAGTTGATAATGCTAGCCTCTTCGCCACTCATCCTAGCTCTCATCACAAGAAGCTGAAATTAAGCACAGCTGGTAAATGTTGCTTCAACTTCTTTGCAGCAAAATACTAGGATGTGCTGATAACATAGTAGATTTATTGTATCATATTACTGATAGTGACTAACATTAATCAATTTTTAAATCGTACATTAGATACACGATCGGTAGCAGATAGTAGAGTAAAGGACCATCATTTTAGTTGCTCTATGAATTTCACTTATGAAGCAGAGGCGAACAATCGATACGTATCGAGCGAGATATTTACTCGTCTACTAGTACAGGACTTAAAGAGAGAATTCTTCACTACATGCTATGGTCATGTCGATAAAATTATCCAATACTGCCATCTTGGTCATTGTTTGGCAATTTTGAAAGTAAATGCTCAAATTAATCCTAAATTTGAAATTAATACCAAAATTATTGATAAAATTTACAGCCTTGCGCCTTGTGGCAATCGCAATAAACAAGTCGCTGCACGCTCGAAAAATGATGATGAATATCTTCTTGAACACAAGGCTAAGACATTTGAAATGCCGCCTAGTTTCTTGGGTCAATGGACTGAGGCAGATGACAGAGATAAAAAAATTGATTACGAAATTAGCGAACTACGTCCTCCGTATCCAATATAAAAGAGGTACTTTACTATAAATGCGTATGAAATAGATTACTTTAAAATCAATTCTAAAACATAATAGTAACGTTATATTTCAAAATTTTGCAATAAAATTGCGCATCATTGCTGTGATTGCTGAATGGTCAATGACGTACTGAAATCACTTCTGGATTTAATAACTATATTATTAGGCGCCAGGAGCAACCCCAACTTTCCTTCATTCCTCGCAACAAGGTGCTATACGAGTACATATATATATATATATGTATTGTATAATTACATATACGTGTATTGTAATATAATTAAATATGTGAACAGTCCTATAATTTTACGTTTTCTTTACTTAAAATCGACAAACTGAATCTCTCATCACAGTATAACAATAATGATTTTTAATAGGCATAATTGAGAATAAGCAAAATGATATAGCAAAACTTCGTCCTTGGCAGTCTACAAAACCCCTTCGATTAGGATTATCGCGTAAGCAAAGGGTGAAGCCGCTTCATTCTCATCTACAAAGCCGGGTAATCATATCGTAGTTAAAGTGTATACTACAGTATATACTGTAAGATATAATCTCAGTATTAATGTAGTATTGTACTGTGCATTATACGATGTATATGTATATTATAATTGTTACCATAGAAAAAACCTAAAATGTTATATCTCTATGATTACTACAGTAATTAATGGCAATACACGTACAGTACAATATATAAAGAGATAATAAGTAATTAATTGATTAATATGCATTCAAGTAATGATTAATTATGCATATTTATAGTACTTTCGTCGCTGTATTTTTTGGATATTACAACACTGTCAATTTGAAAAAATCTTGAAATTTTCATAGATTACGATATTCATAATAATGAGGATTTAATGTCGTTGAAAAATAATCAATGCAGTGGAGTGCAGTTCTGAATACGGATTAGTAGCCAATCCACCTGGCCATAACACATACATCAATAAAACTGATTATACAGTCTATGTTTGATTATAATTATTATTGACTGCTAACTGCATATCTGTGCTGAATGCACATGATCGAATGACTGTTGTACACTGTACTGTACAGTATTGTAATCCATCGTGTACTGTACTGTACACAGTACTAGAGACCTTCTATTTCGAGTGTACAGTACTGTACATTATTCCGTATCCGAAGCATAGGGAGTTCTCAGTGTCCATGCAGCAGTAGCCCAAATTTGGGGTCCTTTTGGCTCACCGTACCATGCTTCCGAAAATCTATGACTGTTTACTTTTACATTAGGGTACTGTGCAATGGGCACTGGTATAGTATGTACAGTATGTATGCACAGCACTGTACGTGTGGGAGCCAGTTCTCTTTACAGCATGGCTGAAAATTCGTGGAAATTTTGGGAGGGGAGAGCATTGTCAAGAGGTTCTTTTTGATGCGGTGCAGTTTGCATAATAAATAGACCTAGATTTACGCCTGTTGAACAGTACTGTACTGTAGAGAGTAGGTTCTGAAGTGCTATTCAGATGCAGTGTCAAAGGTGAACTTTTGACGTCATAATCCGACATTTGCATTTGCATTTGCATTCCTCCCGTCCTCGTCTGCTGAGGCTGTTGTATCAATCACTGTCACTATGGCGCACATTTGGTATCCACAGGTACTGTACTGAATGAGCTTTTAGCTAGGGGTCAAAATTAGAGGTATTAAAATAACGTGAGAATCGTAACTTAGTCAGATTCTTCCTGATCAGTTATGGGGAAAGACGAAGTGTTAGTTTTAGGTGGGGCTGGATATATTGGCAGCCATACCTGTGTCGAATTAATCGGGGCTGAGTATAAGCCTGTCATTGTGGATAATACGATAAATTCATCTCCGGGTAAGTACCACAATTATACTAGTAGAGTACTGTAGTTAGCAAGTGCGAGCAGATAAAGTGATACAGTAAGGCATACTATAACACAAGTAGTGTATAGTGCATTGATTTACAGTTAATTAATTATTTATTTACTATACAGTTCAATTTTTCTTTGCAAGTATGCGTTATACTTTTTTTAGCAATAGGAATCAGTTTATGCCTTATGGTGATTTTTCCGACTGTAAATGACAGCACACGATATCGCTATAATTGTGATTGCATGTTGCTTTACCGTAATCGATACATACTATATTGCTATAGAAAGAGGCAGAGATGTTCTAGAGAAACGATGCTTGCTGCTTTGCCCAAAACTACAGTACTGTGCTCTTTCAGTCATCAACCATGGTCTACTAGAAAATAGCTACTAGGTTTTTATCCATTTTTTGCTAGTAGTCCACGGATCAACATTACTCATTATCATCTCGTAAATAATAATATGTAATGCTGTATAGTGTTATACAGTTGACAGTAATGCTGGACTCTTTACTTTTTGGGAATATACTGTACAAGTATGAAAAAGTTAAAGCGTTATCAAGAGCAATCGAATATCATGCTTATAAGTTATAATTGCCTTAAAATTAGCTCATAAGTATAGACCATGCAAGTTAGTGCAGGTATTTGGCTACTACTCTCTATAGTATGCTGAGCAAAATGCAAGTATACATTGGGCAATACTCTACCGATCTTATACCATTAGTTATAACTTATATAAGTACTATACTGAAGTAATTAAAGTATCGTTTTCTGTAAAGTTACAACATTTCATGCTTTAATTAAGTTATCAAACAAAGAGTAGGTGAAAATTTCTCCTTGATAAAGGAGTTCTATAGTGAACCACTGTTCTAAGTACGAACTTAGTCGGAGGTATCAAAAGGAAATACTTTTTCTTAAGGGAATTAATTATCGTTGTATTATTTGATTATTCTATATGCTTTTTTAAATAGTATGTGTGAGCCGCCTACAGCAATTGACTGGTGAAAATATCGCCTTTTATCAATTCGATGTGCGCGATCAAGTTAAATTGCGTGAAGTTTTCTCTCAGGTATCATTTGCATTTTGTGGTAGAGTACAGTATTCTGTATCCAAGCTTTTGTCTACTGTTATATGTTTTTTACCAACGATTGGTATCTTATACTACTTCTAATCATCATTGCATTTCAACATTGCATCTTTTGTATAAACTACTCGTAAATTATTATACTATACAGTAGTGTGATATTTTAAAACGCTTTATTGAAGGAAGTATTATTGGATACAGTGATAGGTTTATTGTCGTTAAATAATCTAATTTTGAGATCTAAAATTGAAGTACTCTTACTATCATATTATTAGATGCAGGTCACATTATCCGATAATATATTAATAAAGATATGGATGTTCTAGAAATATTTACAATGGCTTTTGTTCTTTCATACAGCATGATATCAAGGCGGTAATTCATTTTGCTGGATTAAAGTCCGTTCCAGAATCTGTACAATTTCCTCTTAAATATTACAGTGTTAACATAGGGGCAACAATTACTTTGTTAGAGGTATGACACTATAGTAGGTTTTATAAAGTCAAATAATTTTATAAAGATCAGACTTGAAGGGCAATGCCTTAATTTCATGATCCTGACTGATCGAACAACAATCTCTCTTCTGATCGATCTTAGGTGATGAAAGAATTTAAAGTATATAATTTAGTTTTTTCCTCCTCTTCAACTGTATATGGCAAACCCCAATTTTTACCAATGACCGAAGATCATCCTACAGGTCAATGTACGAGTCCATACGGAAGGACGAAATACTTTATTGAAGAAATTCTCAAAGACCTTTGTGTGTCTGACCCGGTAGAATATTAAGCGTTACTTTGTTGCTTAAATTAAAAGATACACTAGGCTAAAGTGAATCCCATCTAAATTTATGCTATAGGAGTGGAATATAATATCACTGCGGTACTTTAATCCCGTTGGTGCTCATCAATCTGGTATTATAGGCGAAGTTCCTTTGGTAAGCTACATGCAATAGAATGACATTATTACAATAGAGTAGATTATTAGCATTACATTTCAAATTGTTGTTATGAAGTGGCATATCAAAATTGAGTGAGGTATATTTAGCTAATCAAAAAAGCAATCCTTGTCTTTGCAAAAATGAATGTAGGGCATACCGAATAATCTCCTACCTTATATTGCACAAGTTTGCAATGGAAAGCGTGAATATTTAACAATTTATGGAGATGATTATAAAACACCAGATGGGACAGGTTCAATCATGTTACACTGTAGATTTAGTCCATAATGCTACACTTTTCTTAGGCTCTATACCTAGCATTATCAGAAAATAATATCAACCCGTGGTTATATTTCAGGTATTCGTGATTACTTACATGTTGTTGACTTAGCTGTTGGTCATGTCCTAGCACTGAAGAAGATGCAAGGCGAACATGGATGCAGAGTATGGCATATAAAACTTTGATTAATTAACATTCGATATCACTCGCCATTGTTAAATAATGCCGTAATGATTGTAACAATTTGAAGGCCTACAACCTCGGCAGTGGAACGGGATTTTCTGTAAAAGAAATTATTCAGGCTTTTGAAAAAGCATCTGGTAAAAAAGTTAGTACAAATTTGGGTAATGTTCAAAAGCTTACCTATTCTGTTTTATCTTAATATCTACGTAATGTTAAGTATTGTGTTTACATGCTTATCAATCGACAGTTGCCATGTAAAATTGCTGGACGACGTGCTGGAGACGTAGCTGCATCGTATGCTGATTCAACTATAGCTCAAAATGAATTAGGATGGAAGGCTACGAAAAATTTGAAAGAAATCTGTAAGTTATATTGGCTCAATGATATTGCTACCGTGTTTAACCGTATGTAATACATGCCTACGACGATCTTAAAAAAATTTTCAAAGAGTGGGACTACCTTATGTTATGGTTCTAATCTAGCATATACATATGCACTGGTCACGCGATTGAGCTGTGCACTTTTATTACAAAAAGTTACGTATTGACTCGTGTTTGGAAATCTTTACCAATCTAGGTGAAGACTATTGGAATTTTCAGTCTAAAAATCCCCAAGGATATTCTTGAAAGGTTTCAAACTGCTTTGAGTACTTGACCATTCCTTGAAGCAAAATTATTTTTTAAATCTTTTCGAATTCAGTTCAAATGGATTAATTAGTTAATTTTATATTTTTAAGTAATGAGAGCTATTTTCTTAAAATTCTGTTTTATAACGATCTATGAATGATTTCGATAGACATCAATATACTGCAGATTGGGTCAAATTATATTTCTATCTGATCTATCACGGCACTATTCACTGGACTATAAACCTGTTCTCCATGTACTGTATACGTCAATTCTAATTGCAATATACATTATAGGTTATCACCGTCATATTCGTATTGTAGGAGTATTTCCTTAAAATGTGCCCTGCTGCCATTTAGTGTTAATTTGCATTTTCTGAAACTGTATTAATAGCGATCGAATTATATTCTAATATTAAGACTTTTAAGGATTAAACGCAAATGAATACTGTTGTGTACTCGTCTTTTAATATGTGAATGTGTTTTGCATAATTGCACCTGATGAAAATCTGAGCTACAGTATAAGAAAAGCCTAACAGTAAGAGATTCTAACTGTGTGCAATACAGTACTGTAAGTTATCAGTTACGAGTATTGCGTCAGTTTGCCGATGCTCGATTCCATAATTTGCATACTTTTCTAAATTAAGTAATATTCCACTGAATCCAAACAAAGTTCTGCTTGAAACCTGAATATATCAAAATTATTATTACAGTGTACAGTAAAGTGCAGTCATATTATTATTATATATTACTGTACATACAGTATGCCGTCCTATTTGCATCTGCTGACAAAATCGAGCTGGGCTGTCAAAATACTGTACAGTGCAGTACTGAATGGACTGATTTTTCTCAATTAAGCAATATTACATTGAATCTTTATTACCTGTTACTATCTGCTTGGAAACAGTTATATAAGATCATAAATGTTCTTTAAATTAATATCAGCGATTTAGAAAAAGCAGACATGGAAGGTCCTTTAGCATTGCTAAGTACCGTAGTCATTTCTCCACATTTGGGTAAAATGTCCGTCCGCCTGAGGCAGTGATCAGTCCGGTCCGGGTCTTCTTCTTGTACAGTACAGTACAGTACAGTACAGTACAGTACAGTACAGTACAGTAGTTCATTGCCTACAGTACTGTACACTGTACAGTACAGTAGAGACCCTCGATGAGACACGTGACAATCTATTGTGAAAATTGTCTACAGTGTACAGTACTTGTACAGCCCAATGTACTGTACACTGTAGCCACAGGACAAGCTTAATAGCGTACTGTACTGTTACGGCTCCAATCGCGTTCGATTAACTTGCAACCGCCATACTGTTTTTTCTTCTTCAGATATCAAATCGGCATCGGTAAAAACAAGTCAGTATAGCAATATTAGATGGATTATATGGTGTCAAAGTTTCAATACAGGACACTAATCTTGACTTTTATTCTATTGATATTTTGCAGCTATGTCAGCAGCCAAGCCACAACTTCGTTATCTATTCCGAACGGAAGTCCTTCGTGACATATTTGTCGCTATTGGAGTTGGACTGGCTGGCGGACTTGTTTTCCGTTATACGGTGCAAGTGCCAAGAATTAGGAATTACGAAAATTTTTATAAGAATTACAATGCTAATGATGAAGCATTAAAGTTGGAGAAAGAAAGAGATGCTTAAAACTAATTCGTTTTATCGTCAGTTCGGCTTAAAATTACTAGGTAAGTTGTTATTTGACTACATACGGCAGATAACTTGTAGTTTAGTCAACAGATGCAAGACGTCTGCATACAAAATACACTATTCGTGGAGAGGTTTAGTACAGTGTATAGAGAGAGCAACAGCCAAATGAGTCTTTTTCAGCATAATAAGATACTGTTGGCACTAACGCCTTAATATTTCCATACTATACTAAAAATTGGATCTATATCATTATTAAAATTATACTGGCTTTACTATACAACAAATGTCTTTTTAGTACGAAAACAACTAAACACAACAGTCAACTTTTACTCAATGTACAGGACGAGTTTGCAGCGCACCACCTTGTTTATCCAGTCTCCTGTAAAACTACTTTATCCAATACAGCATACAGTACTGTAGACACTTCAACTTTATTGAAGCAAGGCAACAAGCAAATTTGTACTTGCTACGTCGCTTTAAATGATTAGCAAATGATCGTCATCTTCATTTGAAGATCATCGCATTTCCCTATGCCTTGATTTTCCTTGCTCGATAATTAATTAATTATTCAGTAAGACAACTGTCCATCTGTATAGAATATTTTCCTACTGCTTCAACACATTTTGGTTCCATTCAGTTGTAAAGTCATCTTCAATACCCAGTGTTTAATTATGGTCTTCTTGGATTACTAAACTTAACTGAGTAAGTCTAGTAAGCTATGGCCTGTAATTACGATATAATTGTAGTAAAAGTTTTACCCACAGTTACATACGATATACTGTAGTCTCTAATGGAAATATCTCCTCCTGTGACAAATTGTTCAATGTTTACGATTATGATATTGATGATACGCTAGTACTCTTGCACTTTGGGTAGGCATTTTTCAGAAACTATTGTAATCATAGCCACCAATCTACTGTCATACATACTACAGTATATAGTAAATGAATGATTCTTTTAATTATAATTGAAAATTACCTCCGTAGTTATGTATTTCCATTTGGGAATGGGACTTCATCCGCCTTAACAGAACGAAAGCCTTGTACCCCTTTAATAAAAACAATAATGATAGCTCTCATTCTTTTAATTATAGACTGTAAAGTAGTATTGTATAGCCTGAAGTCATTTTCATACCTTCGAGCAGGATCACTAACTGTTTGATCTTCATGCAATCTTATAGGAAGGGTGCCATGCCTGGCGTATTTTTTGCTTGAGGTTGTAGCCTTGCAAATGGCATACAACACTTGCTGTGGATAACCAGTAGTGAAGATCCTTATAAATTATATTATGTTACTGTGTTTAGATCCTTATTGCTTTTGTAATCTCTTAAATGAGGAATAAAAAGTACCTTTTTATCTCTCCTTTTGCGGTATTGCACTCAGTATACATAGCACTTAATTATAAGCGACACTGTACTTTCTAAGTTTTTAATATATGCAATTCAGCAACTGTTTCCATCCTACAGATCATTATAATTAATTATTCTGTACTTAGGGCAGTAAACTATGATATAGTGTTAAAATATCTTCGTAAGTACCCACACTTTATGAGGACATCCCTACACTGTGCATGCGGATATTCGTTATAAAATCTACTAAAAGCTACAATAGTACAATAATCTTAATCTGTATTATCACTTACTGAATCGTTAATGAATAAAAATTGCACGTTAAAGCTCGTTAAGATGACGTAGATTGTAGATACACAGAGTGTCCTTCATCACTAGCTTCGATTCAATGGTTAATGTGGTCTGGAGGCCATGATCAATTGGTCATGATACAAGTTGAACGCTAATACTTCAGTAATAAATACAGTAACTGAATCGGAGTATCATATACAGCAATGGATACCCACCAACTAGGTATGCAAAGTTGTGCCATATACGTGTATTCTTATAAATAAGAACTTACACTAACAGAATCTACTCATTTTTCTTTTTAATGTTTTAGCCACCAGTTATTTTATTGATTAGTTAGAGCAACCTTATACGTAAATATTGTCAATAAAAAATATTCAGCAATTTGATCGATATTGACAAAATTAGATATAATATAATTAAAACAGAAGTTGGAAATAAGTTTGAATATGGTCTTGCTACGATAATGTACTTTATTATCGCAATGCACAACCAAGTGTGCAAATCCGATTAGTGATTAGTTAAATAGTTACATGGATATTAATGATGGTAAATGAAGCGTAACATTGACGTTACTATTATATAAATTTCATAGCGAATATGACGTTCAGGATATATTTGGTACAATATCGCATGCTTCAGATAATTTGTTGTATACCTTTTACCCTTCAGATAGGTAAAGCTTTTAATATATATATATATATTTTAAAATGGATTATCTAAACTAAATCAGATTCGATAACAATCGCTTGCATTAAAAATGTAATCATTCAGCTAAATGCGATTTAAACTTGAACAATTAAAATAAATGCTATTCGTATCATATTAGGGTCATATCGAAACAGTAAGATATATTCTAGTAAAAATAATCAACTGCATTAAAATATTTCCTATAGTATTTTTGTTTATTACGTTAAATAATTATTTGATTATACAATTCTAATTAATATACGCATATATGTCTTCGCTATAGAGTACTGTATATTTTATTATCAATGCTAAAGTAATGATAACGCAGTGATAGTGAGATGGATCAAAGACTGCCATGACATAGCCATAATAGCTCAATTTTTAAGAAATCCAGACGGATTACCAGACTGCCATTTCCAAGTATCCTCACCTGCACATTTATTACAAGGAAACTCTTACAAACTCAAAACAGAAAGCTAATATTGGTTTAACAGTAAATCTGGTATCTTATGACTGGCTTAGTATAAGCTTGTAGCCTTATACTCCTAAGAGTACTCTTGTACAGCAGATATAATTTAACATACGTAATAGTACCCTATTTGTAAGTATATAGTGAAAATTGTAAAAACAATAACCGATTTCTTGGATATAAGACTTACACATTTCTTGAAGATTTTTCATGGTCTTCCACCCAAGTTCTTTTTCTGCTAAAGAAACATCTGCATAAGATTTTGGAACATCACCAGGGCGCCTATCTACGATCTTGTATGGAACCTGAGATTACAATATGTAATGAAGGATCGGTCATTGAGTGAAAGTTTTTTCAACAATAGCAGAGAATAAAAATAATAACTACGGATCTAGTACTGCTGACAGTCATACCTTGTTTCCGGAAGCTTTTTCAAATTCTTTTATAATATCTAAGACAGAAATGCCCTTGCCACTACCGAGATTGTAAATCTACAATAAAATATATATTCAATGAAAACTTCGATACACTGATACACACACAGTATAATGCAGATTAGAGTAACCTTTAAGAAGGCTATTTCAAAATTTCATAACAACGATTTGTCTTTTAATTATTCAATTATAATATAAAAGATAAAAGGAATGTTACCTTGCAGCCATGTTCACCTTCCATTTTATCAATTGCTAATGCATGAGCCGCAGCAAGATCAACAACGTGAACGTAATCACGAACGCCTAGCATGATAGTAAAGGAAGGTATCATACAAAGCAAATCCATAAAAGACAACAGATATGCGTTAGAACTTATTATACGAAATACTTGGCTGAACATTTTAAACTTACCAGTTCCGTCATGCGTATCGTAGTCATTACCAAATATAGTCAAGTATTCGCGTTTTCCAACGCACACTTGCGATACGTAAGGCATTAGGTTATTAGGAATTCCCTAAAACAAATTTTCCGATATTAGTTAACTTTGTAATAATTAGTTAGTGATATGATTTCTATTGATGTTATACTTCGATAAATCGTTTAACAAATATTTTACAGTTGCGATTAGTATAGTACTGTATTTTCAACGAAATTTTAGAATTAGTACTTTGAGTAAACATACTCGTGGATCTTCTCCAATAACGCCTGATTCGTGTGCTCCGACCGGGTTAAAATATCGTAGTAAGAATACATTCCATTCCTTTTCATTAATAAAACGTAAAGTGATAAATTATACGTAATGATGATAAATTTATTATGAAATTAATAACAACTTGGTATAATGATCACAAAATCCGACAGGAGCTAAGCAATTTTTTTTTACCGGCTCTGCTTTGCAAAGATCTTTAAAGATTTCTTCTATGAAATATTTTGTTCTACCATAAGGGTTAGCACATCGTCCGGTCGGATGATCTTCAGTTATAGGTAGGAACTGAGGATCTCCATAAACTGCAGCTGATGATGAGAAGGCTATATTGAACACTTTAAATTCCTTCATTACCTAGTGATAACAGTATTGTTAGTCTTATCAATCCTTGATTGCTTAAATATAAAAGAGACTCTTCAATTAAGCAAGACTTGTCGTAGAAATATACTACTGTAAGATGATTACCTCTAGCAAGGAAATTGTACCACCTATATTAATCGAATAATAAGATAATGGAATCTGAACGGATTCACCAACAGCTTTTAAACCAGCTAGATGAATAACAGCATAAAAGTTGTGCTAATATAAAAATAAATAAAAGCTGAATTAAATTCAATTGTATTCAAACTTTTACCATACAAGATAGAAATTTATCATTGAACATCTATAGCATAGTCATTACGATGATATAAAGTAAAGATTTAATTATTTTGTATATTGTAGTATCTTATTGCTAAAATTGATTACAAGAAGGGGTTAAATTACTAAATGGACCTCAAGTCTATCAATTATAATTCGATTAATTTTAATTACCTTTGAGAAAACATTACGTAGACCTTCCTTGTCACGCATATCAACTTGATAAAATTCAATTTTACGATCTAGCAGGTTTTGTATTCTAGTAACACACTCTAGAAAAGAATACCATTACAGCTTTATTAAGCACCGTATAAACTTCGAAAGTAACAGTAGCAAAGCTAGTCTATGATTTGATGCATAAATAAGCTACCATAATTCCATTAAGAATTTGAAAGGTTAAATTAAGAAAGTAGCTATTTAGTTACGTACATACTTGATTGTTGTTAGTAAGCAAAGTTTACTGTTAGTGATATTATATTATTGTTATTGGTTATAATGTCAGTTCCTAATGTTAACTTACATTTCGTATTAGAGAATAAGTTACTCCCGATTGGTAATTGTAATGTTTTAGAGTTGTATTAGATAGAAGCCAAGATATGTATGGTAAATATCTTTATTAGGTTAGTGCGTACTCATTAAAATATTAGGGGAACGGATTAAATTAGAAAATTATCTTAGATTTTTGTTATGATATTATCTATAACGCCACATTTATTACTCCGTTTAGGTTATTACAAAAACTGATACTGTAGTCCATGAGAGGACGTAGTGTAAAAGCATCAATTAGTTCAATCTTAAGTAATCTATTTATCTACTTCTACTTATTAAATATAAATATCATGATTACCTAATGATTCTGATCGCAAATGGATTGGGCATTACAGGGTTTTGAGATAAGTAAAAAAAGTACGAATTATAATTTTTAATAAAAAGAGCAATTGTATGATATCGGTGGAGGTCCAAAGAGTGAAAATCAATCACGATAGGTTGAATCGTAACTAATAGTTCTACTTGAACTAGCATCTGCTGCTGACGGTATATTTCCTTAATATTGTTTCATATCATTTTGTCATACTACGGATTAAATATAGCAGCTCTGGCGTAAGTTGATATTTTTACCCAATGTTGAGATCCTACATTAATCTCTTATGTATCGAAAATTTTCTAGTTTTGATTATATTATTAGGTTGGTGGATTCTTAAATGTTGAGTAAAAATTAATTATCAATTGTCAATTGTTACATTATCAGAAGATATTTTCGCCTTCGTTCTAACTCAATTCGTATAAATAGCCTATCGGGCTGAACCGATATATTGCGTTGCAGCAATTATTTAATTTAGACTTTTCACATAAATACAACAGTTTCAAGTGATTAATCATATTTGTTATCCTACAGATTTCTTGCGCTAATTCTTCCGGCATTTCTTATCTGGCTGTATGCGTATCACTTTACAAAACGTAACTGTTATCAGCTGCTACTTAAATAGAGCCATAAAAATTGATATCGTATTGCTCCTACACATTTATTAAACTGACCACTTGGCTAAATTGCTTTATAAAATGAAACTTTTTCCACTAGTTGAAGCAAATTTGGATTCTGCTGCTTTCAAATATTTATCATATTGATCATATTGGTAAAAACTGCTCTCTGGAACGTAACTCTTCTCCGTAGTTTAAAATCTAATTAATTTACCGTCTAGACGGAAGGCTTTGTCACACTGGCTATCTTACATACGAATATTTATCTGATATACATAAAAAAATCTCAAAAGTTGCGTAGAACTGACCTGGTGAAGAATTAAATGCATTATCTGCTACAACAGGCTGATAACCAGCCTTGACCAATTCTACTATAGTATGACTGCCTATGTAGCCAGCACCGCCGAGTACTAAGATTTCTTTACTGTTGGCCATATCTAATCTTTAATCAAATCAGAATTGCATAGTTTTGTTAGTATAAAAAATAAAAAAACTATATTTTAGTGAAAACATAACGCACATAATAATAAAATTGGAAGATAATTATAATGGATGCTACTTTATGGCAAAAAATCAAGGATACTACAGAATATTAATTAAGATGAATATTTCGACAATTTTTACTAAATATAATCAAATGGTAAAAATACGAACAAGAAGGTATTAAACAAGGTCTTGTCATATCTTTTGCAATACCAGATCACTATCAAGATGATATGCTTCACTTTAACCCGTTCAATAACATGCTGCATGTATAATATAATAATATTCAGTATTGAATTGAACAACATTGATATTTCTAAAACTAGAAAATCTGAGCTAAAATTTTTTGGACAGAAGATTCATCATATCCATAGCGTAAAATAGTACGAATATATTGCTTGCCCTAATTGATGATATTTTGATATCGATAAACATCGTATCAACTGAGGTTGTATATTAGAAAATACCTACATCCGAATTTTTTTAAGCAAGCATCGAAGTAATTGAACTAGAAGATAACGAGAAGAATCGTGTCATACCTTAACATTCGCGATGCTTACTCGATTGTTTTCAATTTTTTGATGGATTTTAATGAAAGAGTGATATACAAACGTCTATGCAACATATATATATATACTGGTACGTATGCAGCGTATACTTTGTTTGTAAGTATAGGATGTTAGGGTATATCTTTAGCTATTATTAGCGGATTGAATTTGTTTGATAGTAGATTATTATTGATAAACTAAGTAGGACACATGGCTACGATGATTACGTGTCTCTTTGATTATTTTATTTTTATCCCAGGGTAAATAAGGATTCATGTGATATCCTGGATCATGCATACGGTACTATGGCAGTCATTGATTGAAAGATCTCTTTATTAAGGATGCTTCACCAATTTCGGCATTCTCTCATTATTTTGTAATAAAAAATAAAAATAACAATAAACGAATAAAAATAAGTCGCGATTTTAGGGCTAGCTGAGCAAACATGCAGTTATTGTGTATATTGATGTAGTTGTGATGTGGTATTAAAAATTGTAAAGATCGATTTATCACCAGATGTGGCCAATCTTTCTAGAATAGTTTTACACTTAATACCATATTCCATACAGATTAACAATAGCTCTTTCCATTTTGATGGCGAGATTTTATGATTTAGAACGGAGTTGATTGTACGCGTGGCAGGATATTTCAATGGCCGATTAACTGTTCGTCTATCTGTCATGTCAATACTGCTGCGATGATAGAAATTATTTTTATTTCTTCTTCTTCTTAATTAATATTGACTAGCCTTAGTATTGGAGACGGACTGACCTTACTAACGGATGTTTATTACAACCAAATAATCCTAACATAAAACTAAATAAAGATAATATTTTTCAAGTCTTCACACTGATAAACAAAGATGACTTCGATTATTCCATCTGTTGTATTGCTTGTTGAAATGGATTTTTTGAGCTCGAACTATGTCGTAATTATTATTCACATTGAAAACAACAGTGGCCATTTAGACCTTGCATTGTTTGTAGAAATAGATCAATTCTGAAGTGCCAATACATCTTAAAAGCTTCCGTGTCTCATTATATCATTATTAATAGGTGTAGTGGATATATGAGTATATGTAGCGTTCGATAGCTCAATTACACTATAGCATTCAATCTGTTTTATATTGTTATAAACAGCCATCTGAACAGAATCTATATGGAATCTCTACCAATTTTGATTGTACTGTACACCACAGAGTCGATAGAAGAAAGAAAAAAGGTTCTGATGGGCAGATTCTGTTGTCATGCCTGTCAATTTTTCATAGTAGCTGGTGTAGCATCAATTTGCAAGATTTCATCAGTTCAATTTGTTCATTTTTTACTCATCTGAGTGATAATCATTACGATCATTAGCAATCCTTATGATTGACTAGCAAAGGAATACAATATCGTTTTATAGTTGCAAGAGAGAAATTGGAAGTTTCCAATAATTATAAATAATGACAAGTTAACACGTGTCAATGAAATTAAAAGTCATTCATTCATTAGTCTTTTTGAGAGAATAGTCTAAATACGGATGATATTATCAAGAAAAAAAATTCTGGGAATATGGACGAATGTATTCTATCAAATTAAATTATGTTAATTGGTGAATTGATGAATCGATTGAATTCTTTCAATTTGATATCGTTATTAGGCTAAAAGACACGTTTTCTGTTCATGTACAGTGCTTAAGATGAGTACCTGCCGTATTACCAATCCTTGTCAAGTAGAGTGCATGACTTTATTAATGAATGCCCGTATTGTAAGCTACAGAATATCAAGATCTTTCTAGGTTGCATATCAGTGCTATACAAGCAAGTAATTCATAACTATTATTAATGTAATAAATGAACAAGAAAGTCTAGACAAGTAGCAAGACTCTGGCTAGTCATTTTTAGTGAAGGGCGTATCTATTATCCGGCGTACAATTCAATAGCATGCTAATGAGTCGATCCTGTAGTACAGTACTCTTGCTCCTAGTTCATTCTCAGTTGTAATTTGCCCCAATTGTCCAACATAATCAATACTTTAATAAATTGGATTACAATTTCGACTGGACATGGCCTACGTATTACAGGACCTTTTAAAATAAGATGCATAGTTTATCGAGTGACTGGATATTATCCATTCATTGCTTACTGATGGGCATTATTGGACAATTATAAATTAGTAAAATAGTAATTCATCCATTAATCAACGTTTGTTCGATCGTCGTGATGACTACTACTACATGTGTCGCTTCTACAAGTATTGAATCAAAGTGACGGATAGATCCATCTTATCGATGTGGTATAGTGACATTGATGCTTGATTTTATCTTCGGACTGGACAGTAAATTGGGATAAAAATAATAATATGGGTAACCTGTCTTGAAGCAAATTAGTCCAAACTTGTTCCCCTTGAGGCATAGAGATGTATACTGCGAAGGGAGATAATTCCGTTCGACGATAGAATACGGCATCAAAAACCAAGGTAACTACGTGTAGACTATACAAGTTATTGAGCTAGGATTGTTGCCCATTACAAAACAAACTATCCAATAACAATCCACCAAAATGCAGTCATGATACTTGATGGCATACGTTGCAATCAAGGATACAGTAAAATGAAGATTGATGCTATCTCCAAAGCGAAATACGATCCAAAATATTGATTATGGATGAGAAATGATGATTGATCTTTACTACAGTGTGAACAATTCTACTAGGCAGTACCACATGACCTTCCCTCAAGTGGACACCATTGACACTGGCACTCTCGTTCCTACTTGAAGCTTACAAAACTTCCAAGTACTACTAAGTACATGGCCAGTGTCAACTTTCATGTTAAGCCAATGCACCGTAATAGAAAGAGCTTTACTTTATTCTTACTGACCTCATTGAAAGCAACTTGTCACTGTTGAAGGCAGTTTGATTGGGCTTAACTTTAATTTGGACATGGAGTAAAACGCAAATTATTCAAGCGACTTTACTATGGGCGCAGTGTTTTGCTCTACTCCAATATGATACATACAGTATGCGCTGACCGGTCTTAGGTACTCTGCTATGGGCACGGTCCAGTTACTCAATAATGTGTAGAAGAGCTCTTAAAATACATTTTAGGAATTCAGTCCGTCCTGTCCGGTCCAGTACTGTATATGCCACCGTACAAGACGATTGTCGTCACAGTGTACAGTACGACTGTTGTACAATGTACAGTACAGTATACTGTATCATGGCAAATGTGGATAGTGTACAGTACAGTACAGTACAAGACGATTGTCGTTAAAACTCACAGTGTACAGTACGACAGCTGTACAATGTACTGTACTGTATACTGTACTGTACTGTATCATGCCAAATGTGTACAGTATAAGAGCTCTTAAAATACTGTACAATGTACTGTACAGTGCCATCGTACTACTGTACTGTAGGAATATGGAGTGACACTTTCAATTGGAGAAACTGTACTGCAATGCATGATGGATACTGTATCGTGTACTGTATAACTTCTAAAAATGAAAATGAATGAATTATCACAAGCTGTGGTGGAAAGAGTCTTTCGGCCCTTCGATAGTAAATGTAAACGTCTATCTAGAATATTATATATATATATATATATATATATGGACTAGTGACTGAGCCTGTACACATCATCAGGTACTGCACTCTACAGTACAGTACAGCGCAAGATGCTTGAATCTGTCCATTTCGCATCTCAACAATATGGAGTTATAGTACTGTATACTGTACTGTACAGTGTACATTCTCAAGGACTCCAGGACTCTTGATGCTACAATACTGAGTCTTTATAGGAATGCTTGAAAGATGAAGACGGACGGAAACGGCCCGACAACAGGTGCAACAGAGAACAGACTACTCAAGTTGCTGAAATTCAAGAATTTGATATAAATTGGTTCTTTCTGTCTTTGCCTGATTGTAACAGTAGAAAAATGGAATGACAACCTTCAATTAACGATGCTTCTGTACAGTACCTATATTGCAAATGTTGGGTAGTTGCTATTACTCTCTTGCTTTCGATCAGCACCTGGTAATGGAGTACAATGTACTGTTATGGTGTGGATCATACAGTACAGTACAGTAGTCTGCCTTATTCTTAGCGCACGGCAAGTCCGCTCTCTCAAGTACAGTACAGTATGTACAGTACTGTGTACTGTGTACTGTGTAGTACAAATTAGCTACAGTACAGTCCGTTGCGGTATCGCACCGTTTTATCGAACGACCACACTCCGAATGCAGTACTGGACTGGCTTGGACCGGACTGGACTCGATCGGATCGGGCTGGACTCGATCGGACCGGACTGGACTCGATCGGACCGGACTGGACTCGATCGGACCGGACTGGACTGCAAGAACATTTTTAGGGGCCGCCTGTGGTTCACCATTACCGCACTGTACCCAGTATCAGCGACTTCTACTGGACAGTACTGTGTCCAGAACAGTCATGACAACCAGGTGTCTGCCTAGTGTACAGTACAGTATGGGTGGATGACCTGACCAGTTTCACCTCGAAAATCACCTTTTTTGTGTACTTTGATGGAAGTTGCTTCGGTCATTTGACGATCCGATCGAAACTGTGGGGTTGTACTAATCAAAAATTGAAGGAGAGCCACTCCATGCGTTCGTCAGCCAACGTTTTACATTGAAAGGTAAGTAACCTAAATGTACAATCATATCTATCTTCCATCTTTTACTGTATGGACATCATATCGTATTGCCTTCGTAGTGAACAACCACCATGATTGATTTAGTTGTCCATCAGTCTAGCTTCATTGGCAGTTGTTTCTTGTTTGTTTTTTTGCACTGTCTACTCTACAAAGTGTACATTCTTCAGCACACTCACCATCCTCGCGCTTGCAAAGTGTTCATACCAACAACATGACGGTACAGTGCATTCTACAATCATGGGTCCCATCTGAGGATATACATTCCATTTCAAAAAGCCAATGCTTATTGACAATTTCTTATAGTCGGTAGGATAGATTCAATCAACAGACTTGAAATATCTGCGATCCAGTCTATTCTGTAGTACAGTAGGATCATCCAAAAACAATGTTGATCATAAACACTTACCCTACAATTGTGCTTAGTGGAGTGCAAATTTCCCTATTTGCCTGTTGACTTGAATCATTTCTATACCAGACTAGCTAAATGGAGTAAGCTAGCTTGAGACTGAATGGAAAATACAGTGAAAATTCACTAATATACGCGTACATGTAGTATATGGAATATACAAAAGTATTGGATCAGTCAATTCCCACTCCATTCTGCTGTACATTTTTCTGACAGTCAGTCATAAAGTTAAAAATGCAATACTGCATCGATCGTTTTTTCCACTCAAAGTTTTGGAGATTACAACAACTCCTACACATTGACTTAAAATACGCCACTTCTCTAGTCAATACTTGTTAAAGTACTATTATTATAAGATGTACTATAGAGACATGACTCCATTAAATGCAATTCTTCAATTGTGAAAAATGCCAATCGATTGCCAGATCCAAGTCGATAGAATCCACAGTATTCCTACTGTAGTTCCACGGCTAATATTGATATGTTTACACAATATCAGTCATCAAACAGTAGCGCTCGAATGACTACTGGAGTCGAAAAGTCAAATAGGAAAATGCATGTAATACCGTACTGTATACTGGATCCATACAGTGTATCTGAAATTGTCTTACCGATTTGGATTTATTCAAGCTTATTACTAGCTTGACGAACTGAAAACTGCTTGAATTGTCAATACTCGTACTATACAGCTAAATTATAAATATCTGTACCCAACCTGCGATAATTCGACAGTGTACCAAGTCGTAAAACTCTATATTTGAAACTCACGGAGGCTTGCAGTATGAAATTAGAAACTAATGGACGATACTAGACTAGATTCAGATTGAGATCGAGTCATGGCAGCTTTCGAGGTACAATACAGTAATAATTTCATGTATGAGTTATGTATCGTATCAGGGGTTTTGCTACTTTACTCTGCTGCTCTAGACCATGGTTGTGGTGTATTTTTGGAATAAAACTGTGTCGACAAGTACTATATTCCTCAAATTATCTGATTATTATATTTATCTAAACTACTGTAACAGTCTAAGTGTTTTCATTGCACGTGAATTGAGAGACAACTTTTATCAAATCACTATCTACTTAACACATAGTCACATTCTACTGTACATACAACATGATTAGTCAATGCTGGAGGGTTGAATACGATAGCGATGAAGAATTCCATCTTTGCTAACCATTTGGCTGATACACACGCTTAACAATGCATTACTTTACTTCCACAGATATTTATAGCACACTATGAGTGCATGAGTGTGTAGTAGTTTCCGATAATATCTATCAATTTCAACTAATCTATCAACCGTAGACTCTTTATACACGTCTTAATCATGTAGTGCCCCGATAAATTTAGAAAGGCACTCACGATAATCTTAGCCTACCGTGTTCTTACTGCAGCCTGTCAGCAGGTATTCATTTCATTTACAGTACAACATAGAGTATATAGTACCGTACATTGTACTGCAGTTCTTTCTTCTTTTTATGTACACGGTGGACGGGCAAATTTCTATGGTGTTTGCCAAAGCAAATGTATTAAATTGTTTGTGCTTTCTTCAACAAATTTTAAATTTTATACCAATGGAAAGAGAACGAGTTGATCTACAAGGGAACTATAGACCAGTTCAATTAGAAATAAAAAATTCCAGTACGTCGACACTGTACTATGGGAATGTACAGTATACAGAAGTAGCCACCATAGGTAGTAGTAGTGATCCTAGCAGAGGCCAAAAAAAGAAAATTTTTTTTAACTTTGTGACTCTGCCTTGTGGTAGCGGATACATACTGTACCTACTAGTACAGGATAGTACAGTATTTTTGCACTACTTTACAGTACTGTAGTGGAAGAAGAGTACGCGTTTTACGTGTCCATGATCAAACCTTCGGAAGTTCCAACACTTCTTACTGAGTTGCTGTAAACAGATAATGAATGAATGCTTAAAACGTATACGTATATTATACCTTGCTATGAATTTGAAAGTGAAACTATTGCACAATACCAAATCTACTCGCTAGTCTTAAAATAGCTTGCAGTTAATATATCATCCATCACTCGCGTGATGATAAATGATATAAAAGGAATCCAGTCATTGCGCAGCTGTTATGCACGTAGATTGAATGAAATTTACTTTATGTATCCATTTATTATCCTGTATTGTAGAAGTAAGAAATTGTTCTCAAGAAATAGTGTAGATCGGCATCGAAACGTTTCCATGTAAATATTTTCTCATGTTCTTATCACTGATAATTTCCCAGATGCGAATAAATTATAGAGATTATGACGGACGTCAATAATCATCCTACCGCCTCAGTTAACAAATCTGAGAAATCCTCTGAGGTAAATAAAAATCATACGTCATGACCTAGCGATACTGCGATATCCCTATAGACTTCAACAAGTATAAATATCTAATTAAGCATATTTTAGACCGAAAATCGATAAAGATAACAGTATCATTCACCGTACAGTTGGTAGTAGACGTGTACAGTGCATATTGAATAGGCTGACTCGTATCATCACTCAAATAATATCAACGCTATCAAGTTGTAACCTTCTGCGATCTTAAGAAATAAGTCATCAACTTATATTTTTTAAAATTACATGTACCTTTATATTCTGAATTTTATTGTGCAATAAATTTATCCCACGGTCCAAGAAGAAAATGGAAATCGACGAAGAGTTAAATAATTTAGCTGATATGGTCATAAAAGAAATGCATCAGGCTAACACCTGTAAGAAAAAGAAGCAAAGAAATAAAAAATCATCAAAGAAATTGACCCACAAGAAAACACACGGAAAGCATTTAATCAAAAATACTTCCGTAACGAAAGATAAATCCAACAGCAATCGTAAAGGATTTGAAGATATTATTCAGCATACATCAGAGAAAGTTAATCCTAGTAAGACGTTATTTTTTGAAGATTACTATTATTTACCTTAGCTAACTAACATTTCTGGACTATATTTTATTAATTGCATTTGACAACTAATCAATTATAGCTACATCCGATATACCTGAACCTGTACTTTCTAATCCTCTTACTGTTAAACCTACGTCAAAGAGATCCAATAAACCGGTAAATAGAGCTGACTTAGTTGTCGGATGTAATGCTTTAACTGTTCTTTCGTATACTACTAAATAAAAATTAAAAACCTAAAATTGATGTATTTTATTGCCTTTTGGATAATTAATATACTTAATTTTGCAGAGAACGAAGAAAGGCGCTAGCCCTGGTAGGGATATTTTGTACACTATCTGGTTGATGTAAATTTTTTATCAATTTTAGCTATTTATCGATTTCCACTTTAATTTTTTCACATAGCTGTACAACTGAAACGTCTATCTAATGGTTCTATAGACTTAGAAACTCCTAGTTCTATCCTCGTCCATACTGATTTAAAGGTATGCGAAAAGGATTAAATCTTAACTTCATTATTAACAAAGTATTTAACTAATACATAGCTACTACCTTACTGTAAATTGGGAATTATTTCCTACTGCTGTATAGAGATTGCTAGTTTATGTAACAATCATGAAATTCCATATAATATTAAATAACTTAGGGCATAATTAGCGAAGCCACGTTTGAAAAATTACCATTAACCCATCAATATCAACTTTTAAAATTGCTACCCGAGGTTGACCGTGAAGTAACTCAGAACAATCAATTAAGGTTGGCAGATCCGCAAGAGCCTACCTGCTTACTAATCTAAAATAATAGGAACTGATTTAACCGATCAATTAATATAAGTAACTAATACTGGAATCATTAATTTAGGTTATCGTCATCTTGTTTATCCAATGAATTCTTTAATAGTGCTTGTTTAGAATGGAGACTAAAACTATCTGAAGGTAGGGACGAAAGTGTTAATCACTATCATGGCAACGAAAATGTTTTAGAAATAACAATTTATCTTTTTTATTATCGTACTAATACTTCACGTTAGAAACTTTGTAATTAACATTTTGATAATATAAAATTTTATTTATGTTTTTGCTACTGTCATCTTCAACTGATTCTAGGTGAATTTACGCCTAAAACAAAAGCAAAAGTCAAACAGCAGGCGAAAAAAATGGCTAAACTTGATCCTTGGAAGGTTAGTTAATTTATCAATTGATTATATTGTAATAACTACTCTTAATTTTAATAACAAAATGCGAAATTGATGCCCTAATGACATATATATATTATATATGGTATATACTTTAGCACTGTTTTAATGTACTTGTAAGTTAGTAACAACAATTTCTATCACTGTATGAACTACAGAAGGAAAATTTCGAGATGTCTTGGGGCGATAGGTAATTAGCTCGATTATAAAACTTTGAAAATTCTACTTTCTTGAAAAATACATTGACCTTTCAATTATGGTTGGTGTTGTATATAGCCTAAAGAAAGAATATGATAAAGACTGCAATCAAAATCCTTTAACAACCCCTTGCCTTACAGATCCATTACTTAAGGATAAGATGGATACTACTGATAATTCTGCCACTACCACTACTAAAGGCGCCATATCAAAGAAAAGAAAGAACAAAAATATTGATAATACTAGTATATCCAAAAATCAAGAGAAAAAGAAACAATCGCCTAAGCGTACAAGGCAATCTAAGGAATTAGCTGATTTTAAGGGAAAAGGTAAAAAGAAGCAAGCAGATAAGAAAAAATCCGACTTAAAACCGGATGATGTAAATAATTCTAAGGAAGAATTTCTAACAACAACCCCATTACCTGAAGAAGAAGTTACAAATAGTAGTGTAGCAGCGAGTAATCTGCCTCCTACTAACGACATCCATATTCGTCGCACTTATAATATTCCTAAAACCTGTAAATGTGAATTAAAAGGCATGACAGCTTGTATTACTTGTGGTGCGTATAGCCACTTTCCTTGCACTAGTAATACTGGAGGGCAGTGTTTAATTTGTGCAGGCCAATGAGTACTCTACGTCTTTTATATATATATATATTTATCATAAAATATAAATGTATTATAAACTACCCCATGCTTGAGTAAAGGTCGTGAATGGTCAATTAATGGATACCACGCATCTAATGTTACCGCAAAAATATATATGCAGTGAATCAGAGAGAAAATAACTCAATGTCTATATTATACCAATCAAATCTAATTCATCAAAAAAATACTTGTATAATCAACGGAAGAAAATTACAGGATTCCATAGTATAATAATATAATTAGTTACTGTATAGTAAAGTATATATTGCAAATGAAGATAATATCACTTTCATGTTATTATCAAATTGCTGCATTATTATCATATCTCAAAGTAAGCGTGCAATGTAAACTTTGAACAGATCAAGAACTTTTTCCAACGAATTTACTCAAAACTACGTATAGTACGAGGTCATGTTACGGAATAGTAAGAGAAATATTTGTCTTACATCTCTGCGATGTATTCCACAATTTGAATTTTGTATCAGCTTAATACGTGAAGTATTTCTGACACTTGGATTAAAACCTAATATATTATTGAATTAGAACGATTTAGCCTTATAAGCGTAATGAAATTGGTATTATTCGTAATATTGGAAAGAATTTAAGGCTTTTAATTGTGTATATTACTGTCTTGTTTTGCTGTTATATTCCATCTTAACAATTTACAAATACTTTAATCGTGTTATTACCATAATACGTTGCAATACATAATGATTTGGTCGGTGGTAAGATTTTGTCTACTTGACGTCACCAATTCTAACTTATACAAACTCTAAATGGACATAAATAGCCTGTGAACGATACAGTTTGTCAATTGTACTACTTACTAATACTATAAAAATCGCAATATCAACATTACCCCTGATTAATTGCTGTTAAAGTAACATAATCGTATGCAAGACTTTATTACAGCGGTTTGTCATTAATAGCAAACCTTTACAATTATAGAATTGATTATGAAATCATGTAAAGTAACTTAGTCTATTCATTACAAGAGTTGCTTATAAATCAATTTTCATAGTTTTGTGTAGCCAACATTTTACGTAATGAATAATTTAAATCTAATATCGTTATATAATAAGTTATGAATGGTTTAGCTTAGGGCAATTTTACACGTATACGTATCATATACGACAGCAAATTATTCGCGAGATTTTAATTAATAATATAATAATTTCAGGTGCATGTATTGATGTATTTTTAACTTATCAAGATATATTCGTATATATCACATACACGTACGCGTATACTGTATATGTAATATATTTAATTAGAATTATGATTTACGCATTACGGGAAGCTACGATGACATTCTGGGATTTCCGGTATTTACAGATGATGTTTGATCCTTATAATAAATAGTAACCAATGATTACACTGTGATTGACTTCTAAAATAAAAAAAGGAAATAATTCTACTATTATTTGAACGTTTTGATCAGAATAACTGCTAGGGTGATTCATTAATGTTTTAGATGTGGTTTCAATCTTAAGGTTCTTATTTCTTACATCATGATAAAGTCATATGATGCTATGATATACTGTACTGTATACTGTTATAAAATAGATTATAGGGTCTGAATTGTTCATTATTTATACTGTATTTATTGAAGGACTAAAATTGTAGATATATGAACGGAAATACGATATAAGTTTTACTCGTTTACCGTAAATGCGATGACTAGTTTACATTTTGTCATACAGCTATTGCTATACAATGACGCTCTACTCTCAGTCTATAGTTGCATGCTGCAAGTAGTCCATCAATAAAATAGCTCAAATGCGGTCAATTTACGGTAGTGGTTCGACAATATAATGTCAATATTACATAAGCATACGTACGTGATGTACAGCTATCCATTAATATATACTGTATTGTACTATGGAAGTACACTTTTACTATACTATTCTGAATAAAAATTGATATGAGGGCTCCATTAGTAAAATTTGTTGTGACTGGAATATAAATTGAGACCTTTTAATTAGGGTACTTATTAGCTCGCTTGAGCATAGACAGTAAAAACACAGGTACGTTAGGCTGATATTGGTGACACGGTTTTTGCTCGATGCTAAACTGCATAAAGTATGATACAGTATACTGTAAGCGCCGTCACTATGGCTGTACAGTACGAGCTAGCCGACTGTACGTGTACCTAGCTAAATTTCTATGTACTGTTTGTTAGTCTTACTAAAAGAAATTGCGAGCAGAAATGATGTCACCATTAGCTGCCTATAATAGGACGCGATCGTATCGTGACATCATTTTTAGTTAAGACTCTACGGTAGTATCAATGTACTGCATTCTATTGTCACCCGTATGAATCCTACTTGAGCCAAAGCTCAGCCAATATGCAATGTACAGGACTATACCGATTGGAGTCCGATTTTAAAAAATCATGTCTCTGGATTCGGATTGAATGGGATGTTAAAAAATTAAAAAATTGGAGTTTTGGATTTCGGAGTGAATAATAAGGAAAGCTTGCAAAACACTGGTGTAGTGTACAGTACTTTCTCAGTCATTGCACTGTAGTACTGGACTGTACTGGACTATATTACAGTACTGTGTTTAGAGTGTATCTGGCGGTACAGTACAGTACAGTACAGTACAACAGACCACCGGAGACTGGAAGCATATTGACTGTGCTGTCATTAGATGAAGATTTGATGGTGGATGGCAGATCATGCAGTTTTCAAGCAACACCGATCGAAGAAATCATCGTCTCCACAAGACTAAAATAAGAGCAACTCATACTTTACAGTTCTATTCTAAGCCGCCGATTGACAATATCTCGCTAGAAGATTTCGAAAGATTTGCTATCGATCGATTGAAAGGTAACATTAAAGTTACATAGCGCAAAATAAGCAGTACTGCAGTTGTCGGTATCACCGCCTCCAGATCAAATTTTCCCGCCAAATTGCATCCATGACATTAAATTAGCAGGATGCTAAGATTGGCCTCTACGATCCTAAATAGAATATTGAAACTCATTTATTTCCTAAAAGTAGCATACGTTAGTAGTCATTTGAAGGATTGGATAGCAATAACTCTTCAAAAGCTGTAATAGCATAGTGATCAGCTTAATATGCAATTAAGACTATCCCAGATGGAATGATTTATCCTTCACACTGTCAAGACTACAGTATAATCAAACTCTGCTCTAGCAAATGTTGGATTTAGAAGAAAATTGTACATTGATGTTGATATCATCAATGCTAAATAATCTGTTCTGAAATAAATACTTTCGACTGCTATTGAGTCCTTTAATCTATGAATACCTGTTTCAATTTTAAAGTACTGAAAGGAATAGAAAATGCTCTCCTTCGTTATCAAAAGAATTCACCTGAATATGAACGAGAAATGACGAAATTATACAAAGCTTTTCTACCTAACGTCGCTCGACAGGTCAGTCTGAACCTAAAAAGTTAAAGTTGTAACTTAAACCAAAAGTACATTTGTAAACCTTTACAAATGATGATGTAAGCTACGCTCTTAAACGTTAATTTATGTATAATCGATACTTTTCTATCTATGACTGATGCTAAAGTAGTCGTAGTATAGTACGTTATTTTGCACTCTTGGCGATACTATGAATAGATAATATTTCGGTTTAACCTTGATACCAACTTATATGTATACGCCCAGTAACTATATACTGTACAGTACAGCAGTAAGCGTATCTTTTATCATGTTACCTTCTCATCTTATCATACCCGGTAGAGAATATAGTCCATGCCTATCTATATATCATCTATTAAATAACCTAAGTTTTACGACTGCAATACGAAACAGTATTTATATTATTTAATAAACAAGACAGGATTGTTGCCGGACTTGACAAGAATAAAACTCATCTCTTTCCTTTAATTTAAAATTAGGAGCTAGATAATGCGGACGTCATTAATCAGGAAATCAGAAAGGATCATATTTCTCATTTTATTCTCAGACTCGCGTATTGCAGATCGTAAGTGTTTTCTTTAATTTCAAGTAATTTATGTACAATGCAATGTTTATATCAATACCTTTTTAACTCCCATCAGTTAGTAGAATACAGTATATGATATATATAAATATTCAAACGTAAATATGACTATATTTTCCAATCATTTGAATGTTATTTCTTTCCTGATAGTATGGCAGTATTACACAGTGAGTTATGGAGATAGTACTGTATATTCTCGCTAGTTGAAATAATGAGCTGATATCACAAAATAGAAAGCTTTGCCGATCACGATCTACACCTAGTAAAACGTTAAGACCATAGAAATTACTTATCTATATTTCTGCTACCAACTCTAACTTCAGACAGTCAAACTTCCTGCAAGAAATGATTTACTCTCATACATTGTCTACACTATGTACTTTATATTATAATTAAGATAGTGATAGTTGTAAACAGAATATATTCGGTGTCGATATTGATTACATAGTGTTAACTGGAGTATATTCCTATGGAATACTAGAATATTTAGATACATATTTTACTATCTACAATACTGCTGACCACTATTATCTAAATTATCCTACTGTATATATCTGGGCGTGCGAAAGGATCTATCTTAGTGTCGTTACAACAAAATTGACAAGGTTTTAAAAGCTTTCATTGCTGTTTAATAGAGAGAATTTGCGTCGTTGGTTCTTAATGCATGAAATGGAATTATTCAAGTCAGTACCTCTGAATACAGTATAATAATATTAGATTAGCAATGAAATATCGCTTCCATTTAAGCTATCAGTTAAATTAGATATACGATACGTTTTAGATATCGATTCAATCAAGAAAGTGCTGGTGGGATCGACAGTTTTTTGAAAGCCAACAATCTGGAATATACACCGGTAATAGTTTGTTTACTAATAACTTTTAGCAGCAAATATTAATAATTCAAATTTTATACACTATTTTAATTATTAATGATTTAAGTATATTGTTCTCACCTTTAAAATACTACACTATATTACGCGTAGTTATAGTGTGATGCCATGCCACCTATTGATCGTTCGCTACAGTAGCTTATTTATTTCACCGTAAAGTCTGTTTATCTGGTACATTGATTCTAAATTAACAGATTTATCTAAATATCGTTATACCTAATTAGTTGTAGCAATTGCTAATTGCACAAATGTATCATGTTCACAAGACTTAACCGGCCTTATTGCAGATTCCAGAAAATGAAAAAATGTCCATTAGGACAGAATTAATCCACAGTAATCCAATGCAGAATGGAGCAGCTGTAGAAAGCAAAGATTATTATAAGGTAGATACGCAATATATGATATGAGACAAAACATATGGATTATTTAAGATTCCTACAGTCTCGTCATGTTAACACTAGATAAAATAAAATTTTAGAATCGATTTTTTAAATTACAACTTTATATTAATTTTGTTTGCAGTCACAGTTTGTGATCTGTAACAATCTAAAGTTTTTTAAACCTTAATTTGCTCTTAAATAACTTACTATTGCACTATATCAGGTGCCTTTTACCGAAGCTTTAGACCTCGTGAAGCTAAGAAAAATTTATTTAAAGAATGTGGGTATCCATTTACTGTTCTCTGCTCTTGTACAGCATATCCTAAATAACGTATGTGAATGCCCGCTTATACAAAATTAAATCTTTACAGGGGCAAGCATACGTTCCTCGAGACGACCTAGTCACAATTGTTATTAGCGTTTTTCGTGCTAATTTATCCCACGCCTTAGCAGTAAGTATTAATAAGGATTACAGTTTATAAAGTAACTTAGCTTTGTTATATTAAATTACACCTTTCGCCCTTAGATGGCCTCTAAAGCTCTGCCATTCCTTGAAGAAGATGATAGAATACTACCAAAGTTAAGCAATTTGAGGTAAATCTTTATCTTTCAAATTCCTTCCTGTTGATTTAAACTAAATAGTAGATTTTAAAACTTTAACCACGAGTAACTATTTCGTAAAAGATTAACCATCTTTCTATCGACTCAATAGTCGTCAATATATAGGTAAAGATTATAGTGCACAACCTTCTCTAAGTGGACAAGTAGTGGCTGGAGATATTGACGGAGTAAGTTTACGGAGCTAATAATTCGACTTAGGAAGTCGGATTACATTCCTTTAACTATTTAAAAACATTTTTCGTTTACTCATGATTTTCATCTGTTGGCCACTTTGTGCTCTATTTTTAAACAGCTATCTGCAAAGTCTTTTCCTTTATGCATGAAACAACTACATGAATCACTCCGAGAAAATCACCATTTAACTCATGGTGGCAGGATGCAGTATGGCCTATTTTTAAAAGTAGGTATATTCTGAATATTTATGTACTCTAGAAATGAATATAATATATTTTGGAATATTTACAATTATGTAGGGTATCGGTTTATCACTGGAAGAAGCATTACGATTTTGGCGAGAGGAGTTTACAAAAGGCCCAAATATAGATGCTGACAAGGTTTGCTAATTCTTTATGACACTATAAATAAATTTAATATTATATTCACATTACTGGTACAAAATGGAATTGTTTTCATTAACACGTGCTGTAATATTACAGTTTGACAAACAATATGCATATAATATACGACACAATTATGGTAAAGAAGGAAAACGTACAAACTATACCCCATACAGGTAAATACGCAATGTAACAACTACATTAATATTAAAATATTGATCCTTTCAAATTTTATCGCCTTATGGTAAATTGGTAATCGACTACACTTCTTATATCCATTTGAATAAAAATCAATATAAATCTCGTTATAACCTAGCTGTATGAAGATAATTATGTCCAATCCTCCTGGACCTCGCGATTATCATGGTAAGCTGAAAACCTTGATTTCTTGATACGCTATGCCTGAATACTACTTCTTGTTCTTATGCTATTTGCTTCGCGTATCTTGATATTCCCTCCCTAGAAGCATGTATCTAGTAGTAGAAATTTAAATTATATTGTAGGACTACATTACGTATAGCGTAACCGTTATAAATGAACTGTAATAAACCGAAGGTGTATGACATCTCCCATGAAATTCTGGCGTCATCTATTTTTCAACTACCACTATTATCTGTAATGTTTAGGTTGCCCCTTTAGGCATACCGATCCGGATTTATTAAGACAACGTTTACTGTCGAATGGTTTATCTAGTGAGGGTGCGAAAGAGGTTAGAATACTATTCATAATTATATTGAGCAAGTATTAGTATAGTTAGATTTATGTTGAAGTTAATTTACAACGTTTATCGCCTTATTTTAGATAACCGAATTAGCTAAAGGTTCTCATTACCAATTAGCCTGTGTTCGATACTACGAATTAGTCCATAATGTAAGTGTTGTATAACGATGTAAATACGAAGTAGTCTCTTTATTATTTTCAACAACATTGATTATTTCTTTCAACTAATTGCCATATTTATGTAACTATTCTAATATTGTCTTAGGTTTCGGACGCTGGATTTTCTATTAATCATCCTAATGAATATTTTGAAGAAAGTCAACGTGTACAAGGAGCAAATCGGCCAAACACCCGCTTTGCAGCTAGGCGCATAAATACGACTACAAACACGTCGGAAACTGAAACCAAATCAGGTTGATAATATAAAATACTATTCTTTATTTTATTAAATTCGATGGAATGCTATAATAATTAAAAAATTAACTGTTTTAATATTGATCGTTTATGGTATGTAATATTACAATAAATCATCTTTGAACAGTTACGAAAGATGAAGATATATTATCGAAAACTGCCGATTCCCTTGATGATGAAATCGATGAATTCCTATCTAATTCATTGGGTGAAATTACTGAATAATTAGACTATTAAGTGCTCCTAAATCTGAATACTTTGTTCTAATTTACATGTGATTTTATTATTCTAACTTGTAGGATAGTCACATTAGATATAGTTATACCAAAAACATAATTATTAACGAAATGTTGCAATTTAAGTTAAGTATTAATTAATGTATTAATGTCGATAAAATATTAAAGTGGAATAGCATATAATCTAGGATCAGCAATGTGCTACTAAAATAGACTGTACATTTAATATTGTCATTTTAGTGCGCTGTATGAAGCCATGTTAAAGCTTTCGCCGCAATATACTGTACTTGTTAATATATAATACTGTATAAAAAAATTTCGGTTTTTACGTACGTATGAGACAATTCTAAATATTGATGTACAGTAGTTGGCACTTTTAATTATAATAAATATCACTTTTACTTCCTTATCCATCTTGAATATTATTAGGATATATTATGTATTGAGTTCCAATATCTTGACAGCGGTAGGTCTTACAAAGCCATCTGAAATCTTTCCATTCTACACTTGACATCATTTATTCGATTGCATGCTAACTTGATAGATGCCTGCCCTTGTTATTGGAACTTGCACGATCGAATGTTTGTGTACCTTTCCTCATTAGCCAGACATAAGCAGCAGTACTGATATGAAATGTTTCATTTTTAACTTTAAAATTAATGTCTGGTAGACTAAGGGTTTTTTCTGATTCTTTTAAAACCCGATCTTGTAATGGTGGCAACTTGGTGGTAGTTGATTGCGAAATTTCGTTGACAGAAATCTCCTCGTATCGTTGCTGTCGTTTATGATTTTTTTTTATACCGTCATAGATTTTGCCTGTCGGTCGACTATTTAACCCATGATAATTGCGTTGTGTATCAATTAAGCTTGGCAAAGTCATAGCTAACTGTAACTGATCTTACCCAACTTATAATTTTATCTATAATATAATTCAAGATGTAAGGCGTTTCTTTATTTCACTCGAATATACTTGCAATCTAAGATCTTTTAATTCTTCGTTCAATATAGCGCCAATTATCCAGCTATAGTATAGAGTTAGAATAGATTGTAGTCGCAGAAGCTGATTTGTAAAGTAAAATATCGACGGGCTATAACTGATTAGGAAAATGTGATTCTTTTCTTCTTAATAGATGAATTCAGTAGTAAATAAATTTTTATTAGGAGGAATTTTCGTTCTCTCTACGCTGGTGTTTTTTTGAGGCAATAACTGAATTACTCGTAATAGAATTCTACTAAAATAAAATTGTTAGAGGTATACCGTGTACAGTATTTACCTACAAGTAGTAAAGGAGACTTTTAACCAATATTAGCTTCTTTCCTCCAACAAAGGTGTAAATATTAATTTGTTTACATTAATAATTTTTATGAAGTTTTCTTCTACCAAGGTATCAATCTTTATGATGAAAAAATTTGAAAGAAATAAATGCAATGGTGCCCTATTTATAAATTAATGAAGGTATAGTAGCCAATGGAATGGTTGAAATCAAATCTTAACTTTGAATATCGTATCTAAATGGATGAATTTGATGATGTTATTATCATCAATCTTCCAAGAATAACTTGACAACTGAATTGAATCTGTCTAAACTGATGATTACCTTGACAACTTTATCATTATATAGTCTACGCAATAAGAATTGAAAGATATTGTAAGCACAATTCAATGTCGATAAAATTGTCTAACTAATTCAATCAAAAATGGGAAACGATTGAATTTTTATTTATAAATTGTTAATTTCTCAGGTGGAATAAAATAGCCAATTTAGATTCGTCGCTGATAATTTAAATCAATATTGATCTGATGTAGCAAATAAACAAAACGTCAAGAAGTGTATTATTAAAATTATTCAATGGTTAGGCTTGATTTAATCTGGTCACATTATTATCTCAATTAAACTATAGAAAGAGAATAACAGGTGCAACCTCTTCCAGAAGCTATTGTCATATACTATGCCAAAAAATGGGATTATTCATGAAGAAAATATCATATAGAAACATGAACATCAACTTTTGCTTTTTAACGGATGTCAATCACGATTGAAAATGAAATCCTCACCATATTATTATAGTTTACAGTAAGACAGAAATTTGAACAAAGTTAACAGGGAAAAGTTGTTTTTTATTTTCTTTTTGTAAATGGAAACTTAAGCAGGAAGATAAATTGTTTACACAATAACAAATGATGATCTTATTGATATCCTTCTCAATTAGAGAAATAGAGTGGCACTAAAACTGAATCTAAAATATCTCTTGCTTACAGATGATAGGCTACGACGTTAAATGATTTTTTAAAATAATTTAAGAGATTTTTTCCTTCCCTAACTTCATTTTTAAATTGTTTATGTTAATAAATTTAAAGACTAGGAAGAGTTCTATACCAAAGTAGTCAAAATATGATAAATAATTTATTATTTATATTGATACTCTTTATTGTTGTCTTTCATTAATATACTCTAAATACAGTAAATTCTCCACAATAGTTATAGTATTTTTTCACTATCAATCAGTTTGTCTATGCAGTAGACTATTTCGTAATCACGGTATTTATAGATTTTTCTACTTCAATATTCTATCGGTTTAGGCATTATAGAACAAGATAGAACTAGCGAGTTAGTTAACAAATTAAGTTGGCTAAAGTAGCATTATAGTATAATATCCTCTATTATAAGTTGTTTTTCAACATTTTTTAAAATTCTAAGATAGAGGAAGAGAAAATGGAATAAATTAGTCCAATTATGTTTTATGACCCCATTTTTATCTTTAGTCCTGTTTAGAAGTAACTGAAATTTTAAAATTGCAATCTAATAGTCTATCGATATACAAAATAACAAATACAATATGGGATTGATTTTCTTTTATACTAATAGTCTAATGCTGTACAAAATATCGAATATAGTATAGGATTGATTTTCTTTTCTTTAGATTACAATATAAAATGAAATAAAGTATGTCTATGAACCGTGTCAAGAATATTTTCTAGTTATGGATCTTGCAGTAAAAAACTCTGCATTTTAATAGAAAAAGATATAGCACTGAAGGTAGTAAGCCATTTCAAAGGACTAAGTTACATAGAAAATTGGCGTATATTACACGTCGATGATTAAATATTATTATTATAAAGAAGACAACATGAATAGAGATAATGATTAACTTTGCCAGGTATCCAGATAATTCGTATAAGACATTGATATTATGTACAGTTAATGTTATAAAGTATGGGATGTTTCATCATTTTTAGAGTTAAATATAATCTGTATAGAAAGTTTCCAAAGTAGCTGTAACCACTTCAATTAAGTATTCGTCTACTTGAGCCGTCTACTTGAGCCATTAAAAATTCAATTATCCAATCTCACAAGATAAAGTAATTTATAATTTTACAATAGAATACAGTCTATATATAATATTTTACTATCGGTTACTAAATTATCAGTCTTCCATAGTAGTAAGCCCTTATTCAAATATTTGAATAAACAGTCCATTTAACGACAGATGTTATATTCAATCATGGTGTAAATAACAAGAAAAAATGGCTACACCAGGATTAATTAAATCTGCCTTTCTTACAACTTTTACCCATAATTTAAAGTAAGATTGTCAAGTAACTAGTAACGATTGACAATTATTATCATTTCTATGGCCGGAGAAATAACACAGGCAAATATCGCATTATATATGTTTCATTTTCATTAATCTAAGCTATTTATTCATTTATAGATATCTTAACAGTATTGTATAGGCGAGTGCCCTCATTCAATTCGAGGGATATCTGCTTCTGTCCTCTAGGAATCTTAAAGAGTTTCATGATTTTTTCCAATAAAGTAAAGCTACTTTCATTAAGTCATAAAATGTTCATAAAAATTTTTCTGGTTGCCTTATAAGAATGGAATGATACTGAGTTAGAAATCAACCTATATTGCTCTTTGATTTAACTAAATTCTTAGTATCTAGCATATATTGTCAATGGATTACATACACGTAGAAAAGAAAGTGTCAGGAAATCCGCGTTCATTCTATATTGACTATAATCAATATGGCATAACGTTGATTTTAACCGTTGGAAAGACGGTAAAAGTCAAACAGAAGTGAATTCATTAAAGTTAGTATTACGTCCTTATTGATTGTAATTGGTGTTTTTAACATTAATTTGTAAAGTAGGAAAGTAAGTAGAAGTTAATGATAACTGAATTCGCTATGGTCGATCTTATTTACTTATTGGCTATGATCAGTATTGTTAATGTCGATTTTTAAAAGTTGGAAAAAGGTAGCAGTCAATAAGAATTGAATTCTTTTAAGTTGGTCTTATTTCCTTATTGACTATAATTAGAATATTTTTACCTTAATTTTTTACGAGTTGGAAAAACGTAAAACTTTATAAGAACTGAATTCAGTACACTTCTTGTCATTTTCTTATTGATTAGGATTAATGGTTAACTGATGTTTTTAATGTTGGAAAGGAGGTAGAAGTCAATAAGAACTGAATCCATTACAGTTCTCGTCATTTCCTTATTGATTTCGATTAGTGGTTAATTACCGGTAGTGTTTTAATGTCGATTTTTTAAAGGTTGGAAAGAAGGTAGAAGTCAATGAGAGCTTAATTCATTAAAGTTCTTGTATTTTCTTATTAATTTTGATTAGTGGTTAATTAGTGTTTTTAAGTTCGATTTTTTTAAGTTGAAAAGAAGATAAAAGTCAATAAGAACTGAATTCATTAAAGCCTTTGTTATTTCGTTGTAATGATTGGTATTTATGACATCGACTTTTAAAAGTTGGAAAGAAGTCAATGAGAAAGAAATTACCATTGCAGGTTTCCTTACTGATTATAATCAGTATGTATAACGTTGACTATTAAATTATATTAATCGGAAAGATGATAAAATCAGTAAGGAATAATTTCAATAATAATCACAGTTTGTAATGAGGGTAAAAGTTGGTAAAAATGATAGTCACTAAAATCGGTATTATTCCTTGAAGGTCTATGATCATTGCATG